CTGTCGTTGGGGTTGGGGGTGCATCTGTAGTTTCCCCTTCCTGACTCTCCGACATGGTTGTCCTGGGAACAGTTGTTCCCAGGGTGGTCAATGTTGGTGAAGCGGTATGGATAACTGCACTGGTTGTCATGGGGAAAGATCCCTTCACATCAGTGATTTTGTTCAATGTTGTCGGGGATATTGTTGTAGGTGACTTCTTGGAGATGGTGGTTGCCATGGACACTGGTGATGTAACGTCATTGCCCGGTGTGTATAAAGCTGTTGGGGCTGTGATGGTGGATGACTTCTGAGAGTCAGTGGACACTGATGTTTCCCATACATTGGTTGTGGGGCTTGATGCTAATGGGGCTGCCGTTGAAGCTCTCTGATTCTGTTTTGAGGTCTCATCTGAAGTGACGATAGTGGACAAGGCTGTCCTTCCCTGGTCCTTCAATGTAGAAGTCGTTATAGAATTTGACAGTGTTGTGTCCTTGGAGACTGTGATGTTAACTGTATGTAGTATCTCCTCCTGAGGGTTATGCATTGGGGTTGAGAGCTCACTGGACCCAGCAGAGCTGTAGGCTGGTGGTGAAGCTGAAATTGCAGCTGGTGTTGTATGATTCTGGGATTCAGCCATTGCTGTCTTCCTGGTTGGTACTGAGGTGTTAAGTTGACCTGCAGGGGTGTTGTCTCTCTTAATATTGGCTAGAGCTGAGGATGCATCAGAACACATTGTAGTTTCCTTAGATGTGGAAGTTGTTGTATCTGACTTACACCTCCAGGTTGTAATAACGCCTGTACAACAAACAAAAAGACACCAACACACCTGTTCCCTCCACCAATTCAGAATTCTTCTCAGGTGTTCTCACTTACCAGGTATCCTTACTGGAAGATTCAATAAAAATAACATCAACACCAACTACATTTGATATGTTCATTTATTTATTGGCCAGCTCTGTGATAATAGATCTCAGATGATACATGCCAGGAAGGTCAAATTTAACTAGGGCAGGCAATTATATCTCCTTCCACACAATGACTACTCTAGAGACAGAATCAGCAAAAGACAGAATCAGCAGAAGACAGAAGTCTGTTATCACATTTGATCTTCAATTTCTTGATACCTTTCAATATGTTACGTATAGCATTGAATATAATTCTAATATTTAAAGATATACTTTTTTGTACAACCTGACCCCTAATTTCAAGCCATTGGCTTTATTGCAAAAGAAGTCAAGGACTTCTTTAGTGCAAAAGAAGTCAAAGATAGTTTTGACATTGCTCAATTTTCACCTTGTCTGAATAAGGTGTTGCTCCAATGAGCATTGGTTCATTGAGTCCGCATAACCAACCTGAGGTAAGGACTATTATTTCTATTAATCAGATGGAGAAACTGAGGCCCAGACAGGTCACACAGCCAGAAATGGTGGTGCTGTATTTGAAACTGTGTTCATCAGACCCCAGAACACAGTGTCTTCCCTACTATGCCTCAGTGCCTCACAAAAACACAGCTTCATTCATTCTCTCTAGAGAAAAAGGCCAAGATCAGCTGTGCTGAGCTGGATCCCCTGGAAACCTTCCTCTTTTCCCTGGGCAATGGGCAGAAATAGGTCCATCATCTGATGACCCGTCAATGCATTCTCGGCAGTTGTCAAAGGTCTAATGCAAAAAAACTGGAGGTGACTCAACCCAGGTGACAGGCTCATCATTCCCACAAACTAGCTCTGAGGACGCTCTAACCCTTGTCTCCAACTTTACCCCTGTCTGGCACCTGCTCCTCCCACACCCAACCTTCTTCTGGCCCGGTGCAGACCTAAGAGGTCACAATAGGGCAGAAGGGCTAGCCAGGACGCATGGAAAGAGTAGGGGGATCTGCACTTGATGTGTTTCTATTACTGACTTGTTCTGTGATCTTGGGGAAGATCCCACCCCTCTCAGTGCCTCCATGTCCCCTTCAGTGCAGTGGGGGACTTGGGCTCAAAATTGGAGGAGCCCTCCAAACTCTGGTGACTCATGGGTCTATTTGCTACAGAAGCCCAGGCTGAAGTGAACAGATGCATTGCTACAGGGGTTTTATGTTTTTATTTGCAGGAAGAGATGTTTCCATTGGATCTAATTTTATGGGGGGTTTTTCCCATATGTTAACCAGTTGTTCCTGCCTCCTTATGGAAAAGTCCATCCTTTCTCCACTGATTTGTTGTGCCACCTGTCATTATGTATCCAGACTGATTTCTGGGCCCTCTTGAGAAGTGAACCTCCATTGGTTCACTCTTGTCTATCCCTGCACCAACACCACCTATGTTACTACTGTTACTTTAATGTAAATTTCAGTATCTGGTATGGGGAGTCTCCCATCTTGTTCTTCAGAATTCTCTTGGCTATTTTGGCCTTTCGTTTTTCCTAATATATATAACAATCTGATTATTAAGTTATGATTTTGATTGGAAGTGTGCCACATTTATGGATTTGGTGAGACTGATGTTCTTTATGCTACTGAGGTTTCCCGCCCACAGCACTCCTTTGGGAAGTAATGGAGTGTGGCCTGTGACAGAACCCCAGTTTTGTGATGGGGACAAATCACTTCATGTCTCTGAGCCTCAGTTTCCTCAACAGTAAAACAGGGATGAGAATAGTATTCACCTTACTGATGGTTATAAGAATTAAATAAGGTATTGCACGTGAAGCACCTAGCACAGGGCTTAGCATATCCTAGGTGCTCCACATGCTATTGGTCATAACTATCCCCTTCTCTTCCTCTCACCAAAATGGCTGTCTACTTCCTCAGTGCTTTGCCAAGGATACTAGTGTTCCTGGAAAAAGTCATGGACTCGTGAGAGTGACGAGACATAGAATTTCCAGCCGCTGCCCAATATCTCCCGCCATACTGTTCAAGGAGCTCAGGTTCTAGGGCTGCACCCCGACCTCAGGCTCAGCGCAGCTCTTTGCTGAAGCAGGGCAGGAGGGGGCAACAGGTGTCCAAGCCCCTGGGCCCTCAGTTCTAGGCCAGTGTGGAGAAAACTAGCCTGCTGAAACCCCAAGCTATTGGCCCAGCCCAGACGGAAAGGGCAGACGAAAAGGGGAGACAGCTGAGATGACAGGCAAAATAGAAGACGTGGACAGACAAAGCTAGCATCCTGGAAGGGATGGACAAGCAAAGCCAGAAGCCTCTTAGGGGTCATCCCATCATGCTCCTGCCTCCAAACTCATTGGTGCCCAAGCCTTTTAGACAATTTAGGGGTGCGATGGAGGATGGCTGTGCTCACATTATAGGATCTTCCTGGGGATAATACCTGATCTTCCCACCACCTTCTTCCCCTCTCAGGCCAGCTAGAAGAGGGGATGTGAGAGTCCCCAGAGGACAGATGGAAAGGGTGTATGTGGATACTCACCAGGCAGATTGAAGGCTCCATCCCCAGTAAATAGCAGCAGCAGCAAAAGCTGCTGGTCGCCCATAGCTGTGCTGGTTGATGATCCTGGAGGGCACTGGGAAGCAGTCCTCGTCCAAGCAGGGGGAATGGCAGCAGATCCAAGATAGTGAAACACTGTTGGCATGGTGCCACCTTTCACCTGCCTGCTGGGTGTACAACCCCATCCCCAGATGTCCAGACTTTTTGCCAGCAGGCCCCAGTAGGCTTCTCCAGGGCGATACCAGTGCTGATGGGAAGAGGATGGAGGGTGGAGTTTCCCATCAGCTGCAATCAGTGGGCCTCTGGGGATGCCCGTTCAAATTGGTGAATATCCTCAAGGCCCCTAATTGTCAATCTTTGCTGAACAGCTGGCTAGAACTCTGGGCCTTCCGGCCTTCCCCTCCACCCAACACCAGGGAACCTGAGTGTCAGCAATGTGGCTGATCTCATTGGTCTCCCAACTCCTGAGATGAGAGCTGCCCATTTGATTTTAGGGCTGGAGAGCAATCTCATCCACTCCCCACTGCACAAATGGGGGAAATGAGGCCCATTGATTTTGTCTGAGGACCAGAATCCTGCCCTCCAATGCATCTCTTCCTGTCGCCCACAAGCGCTACAGTTCCCTTAGACCCTCTGCTTTGCCTAGCTCTGGAACCTGCTGTGGCTCTCAATGGTGTTGGGTGTGCAGGTCCCATAGAGGCCTTGCAGGTCACAAGTTCCTCGCCAGACTTCATTAACCTGACCCACAAACTCCTCCTGCTGGTTTCCAGTTAAGTTTCAGTGCTCCTCTCCTCCAGCAAGCCTACCCGGACCCACACTTGGTCCAGTCATTCTCCACTGCCCCAAGATGGAGCTTCCTGTACCTGCTTGACTTAGTCAATGGTGACCTCGTTAGACTAGGGCCCCCCAGAGTGAGGACCAGTGTCTTCCACCTTCAGACAGAGAGGGTAGGACTGTCTCCTGCATCAGGCAGAAGACCAGACTTTCACCCCTAAAATTTAGGACCCTACCGGCAGGGATTATATCTCTACCATTAAGTCAGAAATGTTTAGGGTGCGAATTCTCTCTCCAGTTAGACTAGAAGCTCTGGAGGGTAGTTAGTGACTCTCCCATCAGACAGTCAGGCTTTTGAGGGGCAAAATCAGTCTTGCCCATCAAATCTGGGGCATGGTTGCCCCAAAGGGTTGGAGATCTACCAGTTAGACACATTGATTACAACACAAAACTTTATTGTCAATACATAAATGCTTGGCCTTATTGGCCTCACCTTTCTCCTCTTAGTTCTTGGGCCCACTTAGGCCCCGTCTAGCTCTGGCCTGGAGCAGGATGCCAGGGTTGCCCTTCCTTAGGCCAAATCCTGGCTGCCTTAGCGGGCAGCCCCTTGCCGTAGGGCTCACACTCTTATCCTGTATCCTCCTCCATCCTGGCTCTTCTGAACCTGGGGCTCACAGGCATAGGAACAGAGATGCTGTCACCTCCATAGCCTCAGGCATCTGCCCAGGTATAGGGGAGAGGATGGGCTTAGGCCAGGCTTAGCCAAGTCATGCTAGGGGTGCAGGAAGATGCAGCGGCTGGCTGTGTGTGCACAGACCTCTTGGCTCCCCTTCTGCCCTCTCAGCGGCTACTCTTGTGCTTGTTAGGGAGGATACTTGTGGTAGATTCCTGAGCCTGCAAACCAAGAGGTCTTGTCAGTATCACCCGGCACATAGCAGATATTCCCTTGCTCCCTTCCTCCAGCTTCAAGGGTATCCAATTCAGGTCTCCCAGGGAAGTCCTCAATATGTCTTCCTCTAGCCTGCCTAGTGCCCTCTCTGAGCTTGGGAGCCCAGGTTGTGGACATTCACAAGGCTCCAAGTCACTCTATCACAGCCAGGTGGTGTGGGAAGCAGAAACCAATGTGGGTGTGTGTCTTTTTCTCCCTAAAAGCTTCCTCCCTCAGAAGGAGGCTACTCTGATGTACTATATCAACAGGACCAGGGGTCCTTTGCCATCAGTGGGCTTAACTACCTGCCAGTAAGTAGGACCTAAGCTGGCTCAAGCCTCACTAAGAAAGGGTAAGTTTGAGGGCACTAGAGTCAGAAGTGGCTCAGTGGGAGGAATCTGGAGTGTGGGGGCAGGGTCTCTTAGAGAAGGAAAGGTGGGACCTAACCCGACTGGCGGATTGGCAGGGACTGCTGGGGTGAGAGGGAGTCTAGCAGGTGAGGGGGGCGGTGCTGACCTGGAGTAGACAGAAACCTTGACTACTGCGGCAGAGGCTAGGCTAGGCTGGGCTGGGATGGGATGGGCTAGGTGAGGTGGTCAAGTGAGCACAGATTGGGTGAGAGAGGGAGGCTGCACCTTTTCTCTGTAGACAAGCGCAGTGATCAAGTCTTGCTGGCTAGTCATCTCACGGATGTCCATGGAAGACTTGCTCTCCATCAACAGGCCCTTTGAGAAATGCCTATGCAACAGCTCTTCTTCCTGCTCCCGGTTGAAGCGGATGGAGCGTACCTCCTCCACTATCCTGGGGGCAAAGGAGTCAGTGTGTTCCAGGGTTCCTCCCACCTTTTCCCTGCTGTCCACCCACTTCAACTCCCCATGCCCCCGCTCTGTTAGAGACCCAGGCCAAGCCATGCAATCATTTGCTCGTGTGAGTCCGGAGGAACCGGGAGTTCTGGATTCCAGCTCCTCCAGATAGCTGGGGGACCATGGGCAAATCACTTAACCTCTCTGAGCCTCAGGGTCCACATCGTAAAATGGTGAGGACATAAGGCCAGAAAAATCTGAGGTTCCACTCAGCCCTAACTCACAGGACTCGGGGGTACCCCCAGTACCCGCCCTACGTGTTGAGCTCATCTCGGATCTCTCTGTACTGCATCAAATTCTCCTGTATTGCCTCCAGCACCAAGCAAAAGTTGTCACATGTCTTTTCTGAGAGGTTTGACACGGGGGCTCCCATAAGCGGCTCCTGGGGAAGGCCGGACACCTCCAAACGGGCCACCGCACAGTGTACTAGTGGCAGGTCATAATTCCCGAACTCATCCATGTCGACTGCCTAGGGAAGGGGAAATGGAGAGGGGACAGACAGCTCAGCCGGCACCACATTCCCCAGCCCCTGCTCGCCTGGCGTCAGGAAAGATCAGTTTCAGGACACCAGGATTCTAATGTACCTCATTTCAGCTACAACCACTCTTACCTTGCTATGGGAGCTCAACTTCAAATATATATATACACACACACACACAAACCCTTTCCCTACCTCTTTGGAAGTTTTCTACTCTCAAGTCACAGCCCAGAGCCCTCAACACTTTGAGAAGCATTATACCCTCCACCTCCCCAACCTTTTGGAAGTTCTACCCTTGAATAATACTGTAGCTAACATTTATTGAGTTCTTAGTATGTGTCAAGTACTGTTCACTTACCCATGTAGTTTTTGTAATAGACCTATGAGGTAAGTACTATCATCACTCCCATTTTACAGAAGAAATTGAGGCTCACATTGGTTAAATGCCCTAAGATCATCCAGCTGCTCAGTTTTGAGTGGCCACAGAAACAAGACATCTAGGAAATCCACACCCCTCAAAAGCCCCAGCTGGTGAGTTGGCCCTCCAGGTGGGAACTGCCACCTCTGGGTGCCAGGCATGGCTTTCTCCCAGCACTTGAGTGTGTGAGCACACACGCACATCTACAGAAGCGCAAGTCAGCGCTCGTATACACACTCCCTCCCCACCTCGGCCCTCCCCATCCCACTCACCTCCCTGAAGTTTATTTGATTCTGCTGCCCCTGCTCTCCTGCCTTCACCATTAGCTCCAGGTTCGTGGTCACCACGACGACCAACAGGTTGATGCCAATGAAGGCACCGATGGTGATGAAGGTGGCAAAGTAGAGGGCACCCCCAATCTCCATTGCGTAGTCTCTGGTCTCTATCCTGGAGACGGCAGGCAGGGGCCCTGTCACCGCCCCGGCCCTTCGAGCTCAGTTTCCTTATCTATGAAATGGGGAAACCATCTCAAGGCCTACCAGGATTTCTGCTGCCTCGCTGCTATTGTGCAGATCTAATGCCTACTTCTAATTGTCACAAGAAAAGATTTTATTTTCAAAGAGAGGAGAGGGAAGGGAGAAACATTGATTGATTGCCCCTCATACATCCCCAACTGGGGACCTGGCCTGCAACCCAGGTATGTGCTCTAACTGAGAACTGAACAGTGACCTGTAGGTTTGCGGGGCAATGCCCAGCCCACTGAGCCACACCAGTCAGGCAGCAGCTGCTTTTTACTGAGCACCTTCTGTATCACCAGACTGTGGGATCCTCAACCCAGCCCTGCAAGGTGGAGATTTGTACATCAGCATTATTATGTTTAATCTATTGGCTATACTCTTTCTTACTATAAAAAGTAATTCAAGCTTATTATAGAAAGTTCAGAAGAAGAATATACATGAAAAATTCCACCCACAGTTAATATCTGTTCTAAATTTCCCATAAAATATTTTCCCAGCCCTAACTGATGTGGCTCAGTTGGTTGGAGTGTCATCCCATAAACTGAAAAGTCACAGGTTCAACTCATGGTCAGGGCACATGCCTAGGTTGTGGGGTTTGGTCCCTGGTCAGACTTGTAGAAGAGGCAACCAATTGATGTTTCTCCCTCTCTAAAATCAGTAAGCATGTCCTTGGGTGAGGATAAAATATATATATATTTTCCCAAATATTATTTCCCAAATAATAGTGTTCTCTCTCTCTCTCTCTCTCTCTCTCTCTCTCTCTCTCTCATACACATCTTCTGTGTGTATGTGTACTGTGCCAGGCTCTATGCTAAGAGATTTATATAAATTTTCTCTATTGACCCTCACAGCAATCCATGACAGAGCTAATATTGTATTATAATCCCCAAATGACAGATGAGGAAACCTGAGGTTCAGGAAATAGACAAAATAATTTGCCCAATGTTGCATGGCTAGTGTGGTGGAACAAAGACTCCAAAGCTTAGCCCTGGTTGGTGTGGCTCAGTGAGCAATGGCCTGCAAACTGAAAGGCTGCCAGTTCGATTCCCAGTCAGGATACATGCCTGAGTTGTGGGCTAGGTCCCCAGTTGGGAGCGTGAGAGAAGCAAACAATTTCTGTTTCTCTGCACATCAATGTTTCTCTCCCTCTCTTTCTCCCTTCCTTCTCCTGTCTCTATAAATACATAAATAAAATCTTAAAAATAAAAGACTCAAAAGCCCAGTCTACCTTTATTGGACACTCTATGATATAATGACAGCAGAAGCCCTTTACTAACTGGACTTTACTCTCACATGAAGGAGATAAAAGGAAATCATTCAGGGGACCCAACTCTCTGGAATGGACTGGAAACAAATAGGGTTTAGGGCCCAAGGGTGTTCAACTTGCGACCCATGAGCCACATGCGGCCCACGATGGCTATGAATGCGGCCCAACACAAAATCATAAATTTACTTAAAACCTTTATTTTGCTCATCAGTTTTTGTTAGTGTTTGTGTATTTATTTAATGTGTAGCCCAAGACAACTCTTCTTCTTTCAGTGTAGCCCAGAGACGCCAAAAGGTCGGACACCTAAACTAAGACTTAATGGGAAAGGGGTAAAGAACAGAACCCAGGCAGCCCTCTACGACCTTGGGCATGCACATCTAAGAATAAATGAAATGAGGCCCTAAGTTCCTAGGCGTCCAGGCGGTTAGGTGGGCTCCAGTGTGGGCTAGGAGACTACCTGAAGGTCTAGGAGCAACTGCAGACAGCTCCGTTGCCCAAGGCCAAGCTACCCAGGTGTTCAGCGTGATGGGAGAAATATCCATGAATAGGTCAGTGGTGGGACTTTGAATGGATGGAGCTTCAAGGGGACAAGTATTCAAATACACAAATCCAGTTGCACTAGCCCACAAGCCCCAGCCCTAGGGGTCTCCTTTCCTCCAGTTTAAAGCCCTGACACACCCTTCCTGTGGGGCCATCCTCATCCCCAGCCCTGGAAGCTCCACTCCCATCCAGAGCCCTTTCCCCGCCCTGCCTACTCAGTATTTTGCTTCGTGGGAGCCCAGCCCCTGCCTTGGCTGCCTGGGGCACCCGAAGCCCCCCAGGGACTCACTGAAAATCATTGTAGATGTCTACCCAGCCATCCTGGGTGATGCAGACGAAGAGGGTATACAGCGCAACTGGCATGTTCTGGAAATGTGTGGGCACGAATGCACCAAAGAGAGTGACCCCAAACACGGCGAATACCTGCCAGAGAGACGGAAGACACACCCTGACCTCACCCAAGAGCCTTAGAGACAGGACACGCAAATGAACACTGGGTCACAGGGATTCCCTTAGGTATCTCCTCTTCTCCAGACACCCCTGTAACCCTAGTGACCCAGGGCCTGTTCAGGGAAGGGGAGAGGCTGGGGGTGGGGGAGGGCACTGACCAGCATGAAGAAGAGGATGAGGGCCATGATATTGGCCATATCAGGCACCGACTGCAGGATGACGCGGATGATCCGGGCCAGCGGCTCCACCGCCATGCACACATGCACCAGGCGAAGTACCCTGTGGCAGAGCCTCTCAGGGGTGCCCCTCCACCCTTCCCATGCCCCTCCTCCTCACTGCCACCCTACCTGCTCAGACAGGCAGAACTAACCTCTCCACCCCCCCCACCCCCGCTGGTAATGACCCCATCCCCAATCTCTTTCCCAGGGTCCAGACAGGTCCCCTTTGTTTCTCCAGAGGTCCCAGCTCACCTGAGGGTGTAGGTAATAGAGATGACATTGAGTTCATTAATGAAGAACCCCAGGAGCAAGATAAAGGCGATAAGGAAGTTGAGGATGTTCCAGCCGTCCTGGGGGTGGGGTGGGCCAGCCCCATTGGGGTCTGTCAGACCCATCCCCTGGGGACATCCTGGGTCTACCTTCCCCACACCCCAAGGATGCGGGGGGACTTAATGTTCTTCTCACATCAGGGCCAATCATCTGCCATCCACTACTGTTACTCATTCTGTTGCCCCCAAAACATGCCACCCAACAGGCATGCACTCACTGTCTCATACATGGGTCAACAGCCAAGTGCAGTCTCAGAGACACACAGTGGAGAGTCACTCATGTAGAGCTGGTTCCTAGGCTGAGCACCCACCTTGGTTAATATACTGCTGAAAATGGCCTTGCCCTACAGTTCATTGACAGGAGAGTGTTTGGATGCTCCAGGCTTTGTGTGACACACACTCTGATTAATAATAAAATGGGAATAAATACTAATAAAAACACTAAGGACCACTGCTTCAGTAGCCAGTTCAGAGGTAAACTGGCTCTCACTGTACAAGATAGACAGAAATTTTTCCAAGCCCTTTGTCCAATAAGGCACAAACTCACCTAGGAGTGGGGATAGGGGAAGGAAGCTCACATGGATGAAAAATTCAAACACAGCTACTAAAGAGGGGAAGTTGCTCTATCTAATAAACAAAAGATGCATTTACCTTTTGACCAGTGATCTCACTTCTAGACACCTGACCCACACAAACTCTGTTACAAGTACAAAATGACATTTGTGTAAGGTTGAAAACCACCAGAGTGTCCAGCAATCAAACCCTGGATGAATAAACCATTACACATTCATTCAATGGAGTACTGTGTAACCATAAAAAGAAAAATGAGAAAGATCTCCATGTACTGATATAGAAAGTTGGCTAGGATCCATTAAGTGACAGAAACAAGGTGCAGAACACTGTTTATAGCATGTTACTATTAGAAAAAGGAGAACTAAAAATATATATGTTTGCAAAATAAACACTGAAAGGATAAATAAGAGACTATAAATATACAAAGATTACCTAGAGAGGTTGTGGGTAGGGAGAGAGGGATAAAAGGAAAGAAGTGAAAGCAAGAATTCTGTGTGTACTTTTCTTTAAAAAAAAAAAAAGATTTTATTTGTAGAGAGAGTGGAAGGGAGAGAGAAAGAGAATCACTGATGTGTGAGAGTTAAATCCATCGGTTGCTTCTTGTACACCCCCAACTGGGGACCTGGCCTGCAAGTCAGGCATGTGCCCTGACTGGGAATCGAACCAGCGACACTTTGGTTCGCAGGCCGGCACTCAATCCACTGAGTCACACCAGCCAGGGCTGTGTGTACTTTTCAATATAGTTTTGACCAATATGTATCCACATTACTTATTCAAAAGAAACCTTTTTTAATGGAAAAAATGTTCTTAAATTTCTTGGGCAGTCCAACAAACTCAAGATCTCCTGATGTCCCACATTCAGAAAGTCTGTACCTACACATACACCAGGAGACACAAGTTAGCTTGTTTACAGATCCATCCCTCTATTCATCTGGTATTAAGTACATACTATATACCAGACTTTGAACCAGATTCTGAAGATGCAGGATTTTTGCCCTGCTGTGCTCACAGATTATTTTATTTTGAGGGAGGTAGACAGGTAGTAAATTTATAACTCCAGGTGAGAGAGATAAGCACATAGTATTAGAGAGACAGAAAGGTTAACACCTAACCTACTCTGGGAGAGACAGAAAGACTTCCTGGAAGAGAAGACATTTGAATGAATCTTAAGCTGTGGATAGGAGTAAACCAAGTGAATTTAGTGTCAGAGAGCTTACAGAGACGGGGTCAGTATGCACAAGGACAATGAGGTGAGAAGCAGCAGTGTGTGTGTGTGTGTGTGTTTGTGTGTGTGTGTGTGTGTGTGTGTGTGTTTGGGGGTTGCAGCTACAAGCATTATGGTGCAGCTGGAATACCACTGGTGAGGCCAGGAGTGATGAAGCTTCAAAACTAAGCAAGGATACTTTGGCTTGTGCCTTGGGAAGATCACTTTGATGGCAGGTGGGGACACAGGAAGCCATAGCAACATCCTGGTGAGAAAAGGCAAGGCAAGAGCTAAAACAGAGGTAGCGGCCCTGGCTCGTGTGGCTCAGTTGGTTGGAGCACTGCCCTGTGCATTGACAGGCTGCGAGTTTGATGCCCAGTAAGGGCACATATCTACGTTGTGGGTTAGGTCCCTGGTCAGAGTCTGTATTGATGTTTCTCTGTCTCCCTCTCTCCCTTCCTCTCTCTAAAAGCAATTAAAAATGTCCTTAGGTGAGGATTAAGAAAAAGCAAAACAAACAAACAGGGGTATAGTGATAAATAGGCTGTGGAGGTGAGGAGGAAGAAGGAATCGTATGAGAATAGTAAAACAAAAACAAAAACAAAAAAAAAAAAAGAAAGCTGGGGACAAAACTAGGGATCCCTATGTGGCTGGGTGATATTTGAGATGCTGATTTCCAGACTTTCCGCCCTTCCCTGTATTTTTCCCTTTCCCTCCTCTCACAAACCCTCCACCACGCCCATGCAACAGGGAGCAAGCAGGCTTTGTGTACTAGGACCCAAGGGAAGGGCTGGGGGTGGGAAGGGAGGCAAAAACAGCTTCTAACAAGCCCTGGCTTTTGGCACTGGTAGCCTGGCCCCAGATGGAAGGTTAGAGTTTGGACCATTATCTCAGCCAGGGGTAATTTTGCCCTCCAGGGGACATTCGGCAATATCTGGGGACATTATTGGTTGCCACAAATAGGATGGTGCTAATGGTAGAAATGGTTAGATGCCAGGATCTATCTATTTCTAAACATCCTGCAATGCATAGGACAGTCCCCACCACAAAGAATTATCCAGGCCAAAACATCAATACCGTAGTGCTGAGGTTGAGAAACCATGGCTTAGGGAACAAGCTGAGTGGCTTGGAGGAACACAAGGTCCTCCTGCGTGCTTCAAGTCTCCTGTGCTAAGCAACTCTGGGACTTAGCCTTGAAAGCGCAGGCCCCTAACTGCTGCTGAAAGAAATCTCAGGCAGATACGAAGGAGGAATGTTCCCTCTTTGTGAAGAGACAACTGCCTACGTCCTAGAGCTCATTCTGGTAAAACAATGCGGTACCTGCTCTCCCCTCTGGGTGTGGAGATATATAAATATGACTCATCTTACTCTTATTTTGTTAATAAGTATCCTTGCAAGTGTTGTTGGCCCAAAGCAGTCTTCAAGACATCTAGACTTCAGAATTTTTGTTCCAGGTTTTATATTCTGTGTTCTAGGAAGTGAAACTTCTAAACTATGGAAAGTTTATCATTTTAATTGGTTGTTCTGGTAACTGTATTTAAATGGTACTTCCTTTTTATGAGAGGAGGTTTGGGGGTAGTCTTTTGTTTTTTGTTTTTTTCTTTAAAGCCTCTCCTGGAACATGCCCAAAGGCAAAATAAATCTCTTGGCTCCAGAAATCCCTTGACTTCAGAAGTCCTATTCAAACAAAGAGTTTGGGTCTTTGATTTAATGTAACTTTCAGACCCACTCCCACCCACACAGCCCCTTGATATTCTCTAGAACAGGGGTCAGCATGCTCTAGGCCAGGGACCAAGCTGGCCAGCAGCTCTTTTTTTAGTAAAACCCTCAGGCTAAGAACGGTATATATGTGGTATACATATGGTTGGTGGGGAAAAAAATCAAAAGGATAATATTTGGTAACACATGCAAATTATATGAAGTTCAAATTTCCGTGTCCTTGAGTGAGGTGATTTGGAGTAGAGCCGTGTTTGTTCATCGATGTGCTGTCCATGGCCTTGTGCTCCCACAGCAGAGGTGAGTGTGTGCAACTGAGGCTGGATGGCCCGCAAAGCTTAACATATTTATCTGGCCCTTTATAGAAAATGTTTGTTGAGTCCTGCTCTTGAACCCTGTAAATTAAGGTGAATGCTCTCAATCTCATTTCTTATATAAAGATTTTCAGGTTCTCCCAGGATCACAGAATGGCAGAAGCCTGGAGCAGGGATGGAACCCAGGGAGGCTGCACTTCTAGTACAAGTTACTATATCAGACATCTCAGAAGTAATCAGTCTCTCTCTCTCTCTACACACACACACACACACACACACACACACACACACACACACACTCAGTTTGCAGGGCTGGGAGCACAGGGATGGGGACTGGGTGGGGTGCAGTTCCTAAGAAGGCGTTGGGGCAATGGCAGGAAGGGCCCAGGATCTCACCTTCCAGAAAATCCAGAAGCCATTTAACCAGCCAAGGAGAACCTCACAGATAAGGATGGTCAGCACAATGTCATCTATGGTAGAGAACAACTCATAGTGTTTCTACATGGAAGACAGAGAAAAAGAGAGGGACAGAGAGGTCAGCAGAGTGGGAGACTGGGTTGGGCCGGGGAGAGAGGACGTCCTGTGGGGAGGGAAGGCTCATATTCCTGCTGCTCTTCATCCTCAGCATCTTTGTTCCTCCTTTAGGGCACACTTTTGTATGTACATGCCAGGCACCATGCCAAGACCACCCATGCATCATTTCGCTTTACCACCACCATCATCCTACAAAGTGGGTTGTATTCTCATCTCACAGATGAGAAATGGGAGGGGCCCAAGGTCAGACAGTTAGCAATAAAGATTATTGTGTGACTACAAACCTTTGTTCCTCTAGGGTGAGGACACATAAAAGGGAAGCAGGGGAGAGGCAGAATGGGCTCCAGAATTGGGAGGAAAAGCCCTGGCCCATGAGATGGAGGACAGTAAGTTCCATCTTTCTTCTCTGGTTGTCCCAACCACTCCCAAATGCCCCAGGCCAGCCTCACCAAACTCAGTGGATGCGTTGTGGTCGGATGACTCTATGATGTTGAATTCTGCTTAAACCCCATCTCACTTTCATCCAGCTTAGATCCCTTGGCTCCCATTAAGCTTTGACGCCACTATATTTTGTGACCCTATTAACATCTCCCAGCCCCCCGACTCTACCCTGGCAGTTACCAAAGTCACCTGGATTCCTCACTTTTTTCACTTCCATGGCCAGCAGACTCTACCCCAAGGCTCACTGCCACACATGGAGCCCTCCTGCTACCCACTCCTCGCTACCACCCTAACCCCATCCACCAGTGGGGCAGATCTTCTTACACCCAGATGGGAGGCTAAGGTTTATGGGCTGCCTGCCTGCTCCAAATTCCCAAATGGCTTCGTGGGCCAGGGATGACTGCCCCCAACAAGGAAGAGATTTCTGTGCTCTCAGTTCCTTCCCACTGGCCACTGAAGGCAATAGGCTCTCCTCACTATTTATAGAAAGAAATTTCTAAATAGTCCTCCTGCCTTCTCCAAGTCATGGGCATTTGTGGCTAAATCTGAGTCACCTTCTCTACCCACAAGCCTTCCATAGTTCTCTAGGGCCTGCAGCGTAAGGTTCAAAATCAGTGCGGCATTCACAGGCCTCTAGGGTTTGACCTCCATGATACATAATTTATATCACTTTTGATTGGGACCCATAGTAAGAGAAGATAGTTTATACCTTACAATATAACTCTCCCTCTCTCCATCTCTCTGCCATCATCTCCACATACACAGACAATTCCTATTTCATTCTTTTTTATCCTACCATTTCGTTCCATATCAGAACGTGAGTATCTGCCCTCTGAGCTGATTTCCGGACCCATCCACGTATGCCATCTGCGCTCCGGCCTCCTCGTCCTCCAGACTCTGGCTGTGGGGATTCCGCCTCCACCACATGAGAGGCCCCTCCCAGACGGCTGGCAAGAGCTCAATCCGGGGGACGCCTCGCAGTCCTCACGGCCGCTGTGCCCGCTCCCCTGAGAGGCCACCCTCCTGGGAGTCCTCCCACTTTGCTGGCACTCCCCCTCCTCCTCAGCCCCCCTGTGCACCTCCGCCTCCACTTTCCACCTTTTACCTGCAGGCTTTCCTCGGGGCTCTGTGTTGGCCTCTTCTCACTCAATTCTCTCTCCTCAGGCAACCTCATCCCTTCCTTTAGCCTCAGCACTGCCCACCCAGAGGCTGGCGACTCTCGTGTCACCACCTCCATCCCAGTGCTCTCTGAAGCCTTTTAGAGTTGACCTCTCACCCTTTCCTAGACATTATTTTGTGGATATTGCTTGGGCACCTCAGACGCTACACAACTCAAACCAAACTCAGCGTCTTCCTCACACCTACTCATCCTTCTATGTCCCCATCTCCCAACAAACAGCCCCATCCCCACACAACTGCTCAGGCCAGAAACATAACTTCTTGCTCTCCCTTTCTCTGTGTCTGCGAGGCAATGCTAGATGTTAAACAAGGCAGCACATGTAAGTGCTCGCTAAGTGTTTGTGTTTACTATAAAGAAAATAAATCTGGAAGGCCCATGGATCCAACTCCAAGGGAACTTCAGATGCCTGTGGCCTCTTTTTACCCACCACTGTTGTCCTGGTCCAAGCCCATTATCTTTCACCTGAAATTCTACATGGTCCTGCCTGCTCCACCTTTTCCAAATCATGATACTCTTGCTTCCGTGGCCCACACTGTGGCGGCCAGTGTAAGCGTTCTAAACACATGCTTGGTCATGTCACTTCCATGCTTTAAATCCTTCCCTGGCTTTCCGATGACATAGGATAAAGGCCATCCTCCTTAACATAACTTAAAGACATGGCTGCTGACCACCTTTCTGAACTCATGCTAGCACATTGAACATGTAAAAAACATTGATTTTAAATATCACAATTCATGTATGTAGTATACTCCTTGTAAGAAAGTAAAATATCAAGGATAAAACCAAAGTCTTACTGGACTTCATGTTGGACACAGAGAACACACACTATTTCTGCCTTCTCCCTCTGTCTGGCCAACTTCTACTCATTCTTTATTCTCAGCTTCAGTGTCCCTTTCTCCAGAAAGCCTTCCCCAGCCCATCAGATTTGATGCCTTCTCTGAACTCCCATTTATATACTCAGGCATTCATATAATGACATGGTTGTGCCTGTCTGAGACGGAACTGGGTCTGCTGTGTTCATACCTGGAACCTTGGCACTCAGTACAGTGCCCAGCGCAGAGTGATCTCTCTCAGTGACAATCGATTAGGACGGGATACCCTTCCCTACAAGGCACTCATTTGTCTGTCTCTGATCATATCATTTTTCCCCTGTCCTTCTTGTACAAAAGCAATGTATTCCTCAAAGCTGGGCCCCCTCCAGCACAATGTCTTTTTTTATCTCTAGACCCCTGGAAGGTCAGAGCTAACAGGTCCTGGAAGAGCAGCTAATCCAATCATCATGGTCAGATGACGAGCTGAGGCCCAGAGAGGGAAGTACCTTACCCAGGCCCCCATTAGATCAGTGGATGCAGAGGTCAGGCTAGAGTCCCACCTGGCCAAGGACGGAGTTGGTGCGGAGCGCAATGGTGATGGAGTTGACCGCCAACAGCATGGCCAGCAGCAGCTGAAAGGCCCAGTGCCGGAGCAGCTGCTTGATATACATTCCAGTGATGAACTCCTCCACGTCCCAGGCATCCTGGGAGAGGGCAGGAGACCTTCTTTCAGGCAGGTATCACGGTAGGAGGTCTCTGCCTGGATGTTTGTTCTCAGTGAATGGGGCTGCCCGGGGAGTCCACTCTCAGGGGAAGGGGCCTAAGAGGGAATCATGGAATGGGATATCAGTGTTGAGGTCCCTACCCAAATGGCCCACTGCTGGGGGATCTTTGTGACGGTCATTGCAAGGGAAGCTCTTTTAGGGTATCTGCTGGTGGGTAACTGTCATTATATAGGGCTTCCTGTGGGTGGCACTGGCAGGCAGTTACTAATGCATCCTGGGGTGTGACTGCAGGGATTACTGCTGGGCAGTGTCCTCTGGAAGAACGTTTAGAAGGCAAAAGTGACAGTTATTACGAGGCCTGTTGCTCCATGGGTGCCGCTGCAAAAGGGTCACTGTGGGGGTGAGGATGGATGCAGCCCAACCCTGTCCTTACCTGTTTGCTAGTGATGTCTCGGCGGTTGATGAGCACTTGTTCCTCGGGCCGGACATAGTGCTCTTGAGTGGACCTCTGCCAGGGTGAGAGGGCCTGTCAGTGTGGCCCCTGCTCCTCTGGACCCAGTACATCCTCCTGGGCTCCACCCGACCCGGGGATGACCAGACTGAATGAATGGTGGAGCCAGGCAGGGGCCACCTACTATGATATTCAAAGCTTTCTTATTGGTGATGTCGGTCCATTGCTGCCACCAGTTATCCATCAAAGTTGCTCAGTTTCCTCCCACACCTCGAAGAAATTTTATTTCAAGTGGTCTTGCTCCCTCTCGTGGTGATATCATAGAGGCCTCTGTGATCGCCAGCCGTTCGCATTCCACCTAGGAATTCCAATCTCGAGAGAAGCTCCTCCCACTGACCCCCCTTGGTACCATACCGAGGAAGTCAGGGATTCCGAGGACTGTGGCTGAGGTAAGAAGGCAGGAGGTGACAGGAGCAGGTCAGGTCTCCTCCACACCCTGGATGGAGACACAGGGGTGTGTCCCTACTTTGGACCCAGGAGCTGGAGATGACACTGGGCTAAGGAGAGGAGAAAATGTTTCACCTCAGGGCCCTCCTCCTAGCAGACTACAACCTGGACCCCTCCCTGCTGGCTACCCCATCCCACCACTCTGGTCTCCAGGAGGCCACCCTGCCCTTCCAAGGTATGTTCTCCATCCAGAGAGTGAAAGGCTGGTCTCTATTCCTCACTTTGTTCCCAGAGACGGGGCAGGAAAGCACCCTCTGGTCTCCAAAGGGCTGTGGACAGATGCGCATGCGTCAAAGGCCTCCTGTGCTATGGATTAGCAGTCCTCATCACGGAAGACAGGAGCTTCATGCTGAGCCCAGGCAGTGGCTGCCCGGTGGGCTGGTTACCGAGAGCATTCACTCCTGTCTGACAGCTTTCTATCCCAGTCCCCCTGGGGAGCAGATTCCTGATTCTAATTTGGAAGTCAAAGGCACATGTAAATCCATGTTAGCGAAATTGACTTTATTTGGTTGCAAAGTGTCTCTGTGTAAGGTGAAGAATGCCTATGCAGACTGGTTTGGGGAGGGGAAAAGTGCCATGGGCCTGAGGGAGACAGGTTCACGGCCCTGCAGGTCAGAGGATGGATGCGCGAGAGTTTCTTTCAGTCCAGCCTCCCATTCCTACGTTGGCAAGAGGGGAGAGGGCGGCACAGAGCTCACATCATCTTATCCCCATCCAGGGGAGAAGGGAGCAGAAATGGTGGATGCTCAGGGAGAGCGGTCAGCTTGGGGTAAAACCATGGACCTGTTTTACTTCTAAGCTTGAACAAAACCCAAGGCTGCTCTGTGCTAGATATGTTTGAGGCTGGAACGGAGGTGGTCCTCAGAGCCAGAGGTCAGGAGCCAGGCGCTGGCCAGGGTCAGAGGTCAGGAGGTTGGAGGTTGCTCTCCGGGGACAAGGAGCAGAGATGGGAGTGTTCCTCTGCGTCAGAGGGCAGGAGGTGGGAAGACTGTTCTCTGGAGTCAGAGGTCAGGACCTGGGAGCTGCCCTCAGCCTGCACCACTCCCCAGGCCCCCAGACTCTCGGAGTAGAGCTCCTGGTTCCGCTCTTTCCACCGTCGGAACTTCTCTCCAGTCAGCTCCGGGTCGCCCAGCACTTCCTCCAGGGCCTGCAGTTCTTGCAGCTTTGCCTGTGAGGAGAGTAGGGGCTAAGGGGCCATGATCACCTAGGAAGGGTGGCAGAGCCTGAGCCCAGAGCTGAGTGCTCAGAACGCAGCCCCCGGCCCAGTCTAGCCTGGGTCCTCAAATCAGTAACCTAGAACTTGGCCCAGTACATGGCTGAGCCCAGAGCCATGGGCCAGGAACCAGAGCCAAAAGGCTAGAGCCCAGCCCCTCGCCATGCCCAGTGTCCCACTGCTGACCTTGAGGGTGCTCTGTAGTGTTCTCACACGGTGCACTTGCTCATTGAGCTGGGGGTCGCGGTTGCGCCGCATGAAAGAGCTCCGCCATTGTTCATGAGTGAAGGGCTGGGGCTGGCCCAGGAGGGACAGGCCACCCTGCCTCAGTCCCCGTACCATTCCTTCCAACGCTCCTTCACTGTTGTCTGTGGGGGGGGTGTGGGGGGAGCAGGATAAGGGCGTGCCCACCCCAGCCCTCCATCTCAGCTCCCAACCCCAGCACAGCACCTGCTGGAAGGCCAAAGGAGGTCTGCGGGCTGCCCTGTGTAGGTGTGGCTGCTGGTGACATGTCTCCATGGAGTGGGCTCCTAGCTGGGGCAGGGCTGGGCTGCAGGCAGCATGAAGGAGAGAGGAAGGTATCAGTCTGAGCTCCACGACCTGCTATTTACCCCCACCAGTCCCCTACTCACCGAGGCTGAGAGGGACCCAACCTCATCGTCAGGGTCTTCTGCTTCCGTCTCACTGTAGCAGTCTGGGGTGGACAGGAGCAGTTGGGGAACCCACTAAACTTCACGGGGGTTTTGGAGGCCAGGAAGTGGGTTAGGGCATTTGAGTTCCCAGCTCCCATCCCAGGAAAGGCAAAGGCTCAGGGGAGACACAGTGAGACCCACCCCTGCAAGACACCCACCTTCCTCTCGGGGTAGGGAGGCCCGGCCTGGAGACTGGTACTTGGAAATGCAGGTAATGAGATGGCGCACCCACCTGTGTGTGGCGGGCGCAAATGGGTCTCAGGGAAGTTTCATTTACTGTATACCAAGGGCCTTTCTCCCATGTCATCTTTGGATTTAATCCTCAGAGCAACTCTGAGAGGTAGGAACTCTTATTAGCCCATTTTACAGACGATGAAACAGACTTAGAGAAATGCCTTGATCAAGCACCATCAGAGAGCTGAGGTTTGAATCCAGGCTCCCAAGCACTCATGTGGGAGTTTGGGGTGGGGGGGGTGGCACTCACATGCTCAGATCTGCCAGGGTATCAGCAGCAAAGATGAAGGGTTTGTACACATCGTGAGTGAGCTGGAACACACTGCCAGGGAGCAGAGGGACCACACTCAGCCTGGCTGTGCCCATCTGGAACCCAGAGAGGCTGCTCTGGGAATCCCAGCCCCCTGCGGCCCTCACCCCACCCGCACTGTTACCTTGTATCTTCCTTTCTCTCCCCACCACCCCTGGCCTATCACACCCAGGACTTAACTATTTTTTCTTCTGATCATGTCCACTTTCCAGACTGTAGTTGGAGACATTGATGAGGCCCTCAGCCTTCTCATCCTGCGGGGATGACAGTGAGGGTCAGCACGAAGCGCCAGTACCTTCGAGGTTCAGACTCCTCAGGCCACTTCCTGGGCTCTCTAACCACAAACCTCTCAGTAGCAGGAGCTCTGGGCAGGAATCTGGGGTGGGGGCAAGGAGTGTGACCAAGGGGTGCCTTTGGGCCAGGAAAGGGGAGCCAAACAGATCCAGAGAAATAGCCGCAGAAGAGGCCTGCTCCTGCATTCGTTCTGTCAATAGGCACCGGCGAAGCTGCTTCACACCGCTGAGCTCTGCAGAGGCTGTCCTCCCTCTGGCTTTCTCTTGCCTTTGTCTGACTAACCCTCAGACACTGACTTCACAGGGAGCCTTCACCACTCCTCAGGATCGACTGGCCATCTCTGTGGGCTCCCGCCCATCCCCTAGGCTTTTCCTTCATCATAGCATGTGTTCCCTGTACTGTCCTTGATTCACCCTCTCCCTCACCCTCCTAGTGTAGCAAGAACTGCCCAAGTCCTCCCTGTGTCTTCAGAGCCCAGCCCAGAGCTGAGTACACAGTAGGCACCTGAATGTTTGTTGAATGAATAAGCAATTGAACAAATGGCCTATCACTAAGATGGACCGAATAATAGAAGAGGAAGGACAGATGCTTTTACACACATAGTAGCCCATTTCTTTCTGAAGAGTGTCTCCATTTTAGAAGTACGAACACGGGCTTATGAGGGCTTGTGGCCCACCTGTGTGACCACAGATGAGAGTATATGGTGGGGTAGGAACAAGAACTGTAGTACAGGCGACTTGTTTGCTTACGTGTGTGTGGGGTCTCACCTGGGGCTGGCGGTACCAGTAGAGTGTGTGTCTCTTGAGCACAAACCAGCAGCGGCGCCAGCGAGGGCCCATGAAGCCACTGGGTACCTTGCGCAGCAGGAGCCAGCCGTCACAGTCTGGCAGGCCCAGCTCTCGGCATGACACCCGCCGGCGACTCAGCCGTGTCGCCACGCCTGCAGCAGCACAGCATGGCTGGTCAGCAAGGGGCTGGTAAGGCACCCTGGGCCCCCAAACCTGCTCCCTTGCCCACCATGAGCATCCCCAGCTGATGTTTCTGAACCCATATTCTGTGCTTGGAGTGTTACACCTGTTCAGCTCCAAGGAATGGCTCCCCATTTTAGAGATGAGGAAATCGAAGATCAGAGGACAAGCTGTTAGCTCAAAGTCACGGAACTTACAACAGGCCCAGGCTGGGAACATAGGTCTGTCTGGCCCAAGAAACAGAGCCCTTTCCAGAAGAGGCTGTGTGTAAAGTGTGTGTGGGGAGGAGGGGGGTGGTCTTGTAAAGGCTTCTAAGCTAAGAGCTTCTCCTGCCAGGGCACCCCCACACAGTCGGGTACATCTCATACCTTTTGATTTCTTCCGACCAGGGTCAGGACTCTGAAAGGACCATAGAGGGTTAGAGCAGGGCTGGGGTCCAGAGTCACGCCCCTCCTTGCAGATCCCTCAGCTTACCTTGTTTTCTGGGGGTCCACGAGTCTCTACTACCCCCTCTGGGGCTGTGGCTGGGGGAACAGGGGTGATAAGCAGGGGCTCCGGGTCAAGGGAGGCAGAGTCTGTTAGGGAAGGAGAAAAGAGGAGGGTCCACAAGCCAAGCCCCAGGCCTGGCAGTAGGGTGGGGGTACCAGAGTCCAGGGGTCAGAGCTAGGTCCTTCCTGGAGCATCTACCACCTTGTGGGGCTTTGAGACTACCTATTGAGGCAGAGCTGGGCCCAGGACTTGGATTTGAAGCCAGGTTGAAGTCAAAGACGTCTTTGGATGGGGCCCTAGGGAGAGGAGAGCAAGAGGCGATGAGATGAACCCATGGCTCCCCAAACGAGACGCACCCAGGGCAGAGCCTCTTACCTGGGGGAAAGTGGGTCCAGAGCCGGCGATGGGACCCTCAGCTGTGGGGAGCCCAGGGTCAGAGGAGGAGTCTGGGGAACAACCAGAAACAGGGTGATGTAGCTGGCGAAAGGAATCCAAAAGCAGGCTGAGGGCAGGGTCAGGTGGCAGGTACCTGTGGGGGTGTCTCTGGCACCGGGACCTTCTTCAGCACTAAGCTGACCCTGGCTGGCTCCCGGAACAGCTCCCTCAGTACATTCTTATGGGGCCAGCCCACCTGAGGGACAGGACAGGAGCAGTGGGCTGGACCAAGCTGCGCAGGAGGCTCTGACACAACCCAACAGTCCTCTCCCTTGGAGCACTCTCACCCTCCTGCTCTGCCTCACGGCTGCCTCCTCCAGAAAGCCTCCATGTGCGCCTTCACCCTGGCTCTGCTGAGGCCACTCTGGCCTGTGTGAGCTGGGTGATGTCAATGTAAGGCATCTCCTACAACCCTGGTCTCCCCTAGAGTCCCTCACCACCCACCAGCCCTGGGTTCTACTCCGTAACCCCTTCATTCCACCATTCCTCTCCTTCTCACTTACCACCACCTGCTCATTGACCTGGACGATCTCATCTCCAGGCAGGATCTGCAGCCGGAAGTTGGAGGGAACCTGGTGTGGAGGGGGAGCTCAGAGGGTGCGCCCTCCTAGGCCTGCAGCTGGCTTGGCTGGCAGGGGAAAGGGTGGCTGGAAAAGGTGTGGGGCACTCACCTGGGTGCCCACTCGGGACACGAAGTGCAGGCAGTTGCCAGTGGTGTGGATTTCCAGGCCCTGCAAAGGCAGAGGCTGCAGTCACTGAGGGTGCGGGGGCAGCAGGGCCAGTGGGCAGGACCCCTGCTGGGCAACAAAATTCTTGGGTGAGCAGAACTGGGGAAAGAGCTGGCCTCAAGCTGGCACTGCCCAACTTGCTGTGTGACTCGGCTTGTCACTCCCCTGTGCGCCTCTGTCTCCTCCTCCAAAAGGGTCAGGGGAGGTTGGGGTTGCTGACTTCTGAGGTATGAGATCCTCAGCGGCCCTCCTAAAGGGATGAGCAGGGAGGCCAGGGCAGGGACAGGGCTGGGGCTCTGGTTTTCCCGACTGAAGATATTAAAGCAGAAAAGTTCCTGTCCTCCCCGCTAACATTCCAGGTCTATGTCTCAGGGCTAGAATGTGTCACCTAAGACTACACGAGCTGTAGCCGCTCAGGCCTGGGGAAGGCTCTGAATAATGGTGAGACCCCTGGAAAGTCGTCTGGGCCTTTAAGATCTGAACAAGAAAAGGCCTTCTAGCCGTAACCACACAGAATTCTATGGAATCCTGGAACCATGTGTCAGGGCCCAGGCCAGGCTGCCAAGAGGTGAGAGGTGAGAGGTAAGAGGTCAGAGCTCACCAAAGGACTGTCCAGCTGCACACACTCTAACACAGCCCTCTGCTCCAGCAGTTCCTGGGGGCTGTAGCTCAGGATGTTGTGGCAGATCCCAGCCACGTGGCTGCACTGGGGGACAGGGAGCAGGATATCTAGCCTGATCCCTACCCACTGCACCCCACCTCCACTCCCCCCCGCACGCACACACTTACAATCCTCAGGACTTGGCTCTCCTTCTCAGCTGCTGGGCAGTCCTGGAAGCGGTGAGAGTGGGGGCCTTCCCTAAGTGGGGGCACTGCCTTCTCCGGAGGGCAGGGTGGGTTCCCTGCAGTTCCTGCCCCCACCCGCCGCCGCACCCTGGCCCCCTTCCCAGAAATACATGGCCTCACTTTGGCCCCGAGGTCTCCCCCGGGGCACTGCACCCCTAGGAGTCACCACACGTGCCCTCCTCCCTTCCCTTCCTGAGAGCCAAACCTCCGGGGTGCCCCCGCCAGGCAGGAGACCCCATGCCCCCGCTGCCCCCTACCCAGTGGCTGGCCACTTCTCTTCCTGCTCTCGCCTCTTCCTGCCCTCATGCCCGATCTTGTGCTGATTCACAGGTTATAAAAAGCTCTCGCCTGGCTTGGTCTCTATAGCCTGGGCCAAGCCTGGCCCCTGGTTATCCTACCTCCTGCAAGGCCTGGCCCAGCTTCCTGCACAACTCCCCAATCTCCTGGCAGGTGGAGAAGTCGTTTAAGTGGGAGAAGAGGTACCTAGCAGGAGAAAGGGTGGAACAGTGGTTAGCACGCTGTTTAACAGTCAAGTCACAAAAGCACTCAGAGCCGACTACTCATCAGAGACCTGGGGATAATACCTACTCTGATGGGTTTTGGTTTAGAGTAAAGGAGATGACTGATACCACTAAAGAGCTTAGCACAGGACTTGTTTGCCAGGCACCTAATACTGCCAGGTTCTGTTTAGGCACTGGGGAGATAGAAGTTAAACACATAATTCCATCGATACTGATTTAACTTCGACTGCTGTGAGGTGGAGGGAGCTCTGACAGTATATAATAGTGAAGGCTTCCCTGAGGAGGTGACACTTGTGCTGGAACCTGTGGGACAAGCAGCAACCAGTGAAGGGAGAGGAAAAACTCTCCATCCAACATTGTTGAAATGACCACTAAGATTACAAGCTGGGAGGCAGGGGGGAACCCAGGCATCCCAGCGCCCCTGCACAGATCAGCTAACCTCTTTGCCATGTTCCACCTTATCTGAGCAGAGCCAAGCTCTGTTTTTTGCCCCCCAGGCCTTGAGGAGGACAAGGACGAGAAGGGTCCCCTCACCCAGTCACCCCAACCCGCACCCTAGGAGGAACGTGAGGTACCTGTTGAGCCAGAAAAGGAGGGTACGGGCCTCACGCACCAGATCCACAGCCGCACTGAGGACATCAGCAGGGGGCTCGCCACAGCCCTCCAGGCGGCCTTGGACTAAGCTCTGGAAGACACGGGTCCCCTCCAGCAGCCCCTCTGTCAGGCTCTGCAGGTTCTCTGTCTGTAGCCCCGAGCTCTGTGCCAGAGAGGGAGCAGGTCACCTCCCTGGCAGTGGCCAGCCCACCAGACACCCCCAGGTGGGTGGAAACTGCTGCCAATGTAGCCACCACTCACTCACCAGGGCCCGGAGTTGTTCTACTCCTTCCAGGATGAGCTCCTGGTGGCCCAGAGGCCACACGGTCAAAGCCTCAAGACTACGGGGGCAGAGTTGGAGCAGGTACTTGCCAGGCAGCTGCCAGTCCTCAAAGCAGTAGTCCTGCAGGGAATCATCGAGGCCTGGAGGGACAGCAGGGGTCAGCATAGGGGAGCCAGGGGTGTCGGGAACTCTCTGGCCACTTCTCCACTCCCATAAAGCCCTGTTCCCTCCCATCGGTTCCTAATAGCAACCCTGAGAACTAGGCTGCATTCTGCCCATTTCACAGATGAGACTACTAAGCTGAGAAGCAGGATAGTTTAGGGCAGTGGCTCTCCAAGGGTGGTCCCCAGACCAGCAGCAGCAGCCTCACTGGTGAGCTGGCTAGATACGAAGTTTTGGCCCCATCCCTCACCTGCTACATCACTCGGGTGGGGCCCAGCAGCTCACAGTTCAACAAATACTCCAGGTGTTCTGAATAGGGATTGTCTACTGAACAGGGATTAGGAACATGGATGGGTCTTTGGAGTCAGGGAGACCTGAGTGCCAGCACTTGAGCAAGTAATTTCTTTTCAAATCCTCACCCAAGGATATATATGTATTGATTTTAGAGAGAGGGAAAGGGGGGAGAGAGAAAGAACATTGATCAGTTGCTCCCCAGATGAGCTCAAACCAGGGATCAAACCCATAACCTAGGTATGTGCCCTGACCGGGGATCAAACCCACAACCTTTTGGTGTTTCCTCACATGTAAATGGTGATAATAAAAGCACCTACGTTCCAATCATGTGGAAATGACATATGTGTCAAACACTTGACCCATTTCTTGGTTTGTGGTTGACAGTAACAGCCCCAGTATTATTATCACCAGACTTTTTATCATGGTCTTTAAGGCCTGGTATGATCAGGCTGCCCCCTGCCTCTTCAGTCTCATCACTTGACATAGGCCCTCAAACTCAACACTTCAGATCCAGGGCACCAGCCCCCTGAAGCTCCTGGAATGATCTTTTGTCTCAGGGTCTTTGCAGGTGCTACTCCTTCTGCCTGGACTGTTCTTCCAGCTTTTTCATTCCCTTTTTCATCTAACTCCCTCCAGGAGGCGTTCGACAACTCCCCCGGCTGGGCCGGGGGCAGCTTCTGCTCCCACTGCCTAGTGTGCCTCCAGAAACCCCTGTGATTGGGCACAGCCTCTCCCACTTTATCAAGACTGGACCTTCAATAACCACCTCTAACTCCAGCCCTTGCCTGGCACAAGGTAAACTCTCAAAAATAAGAAAAGTACCTATTGAACGCTTACTATAAGCTGAGCAACATTTTAAGGGCTTTAAACATATTCAGACATCTGAGCTTCACCAAACCTAGCAGGTAGAGACTGCTGTCATTCCCATTTTATAGATGGGAAAACTGATACAAATAAAGGTTAACAGTTTGCTTGCTCTTTGAAGGAATTCCTGCCATTCCAAGAAAGCCAGGTTCCTTCCCTGGAGAAGTTGTGTGTGATCAACAGTTCTCCCTTGTTCCTTGTGTAACATTAAGAGCACTGGGCAGGAGTTCATAAACCTGTTACTCCATGGCTATAGGCCCTTGAGCAACTTCTTTCCCATGTACAGTGAATGTGCCGTGCTGTCTCTCAGCAGACCCTGACTTTGAGCTACACGTTCTAGGCACTTGTCATGATTGTCTCATTTTACGCACCTCATGACACCAGTGTTGTTATTCTTACTTACTGGAGAGGAAAACTGAGACCTATGGTCACAGAACTGGTGAGTGGACGGGCTGGGCCTAAAACCCAGTCTGGGAGTCTGAATTCAACCCTGAATCCCTGCTTTTATGAGGTCCGGTTACCCTGAACCTGACCCTAGTGTACTCCTGTCCCCGGCACTCCCCCTTCCCGTCCCCCTCTGGGAGAAGCCTCCTGACTTGTCTTCCCCTCCCACCAGCATGTCAGAGGTCTTCACTTCTGTGAGTGTGGTGGCATGTCTGGGCCCTTTCCCACCCATTTGGGCTCACTGAACCTGGGGCATCTCCCGTGGAGAGCCCTGGGGAGGGAGGGGCTGCGCCAACGCTTTCGTCGACGCTGGGAGCATCGGTGGAGAGAAGGGGAAAAGGGCCGGCCCTATTCCAAAGCCTGAGCAAATCACTTCCTGGCTCAATGCGTCAGTTTCCGCTTCCGATAAATGGGTTTAATAACAGCTCTCTACACTTTGGGTCGGAAGGAAGATGAAGACAGTGGGTGTGGGCCGCGATGGGGCCGTACCCCTCTGTTTTCGTTACACCCGCCGCCTCCCCGTCTCCAGCCTCGCAGTCTCTTGGGATGCTCGAGGCAAGGGAGACCCCTTTAGGTTCCTCGGGCCTCCTGGGCTCATCTCTGCCAGGCACAGTATCACATGCAGGGCAGACGCTTATAAATAGTTGTTGGCAGACAAACCAACTGACAGCCTCAGCAGGCCCTTTTCCTTTTACCTCTGCCAGTCCTAATGCCCCTCAAAGTCCGACTCTGCCCCGGCTCCACCCACCTCTCAGCCAGGCTGCCACCTTCCCGGGGGTCCAGGTCTCTACTGGCTCCATGGCGGAGTCTGCCGGTTGGGATGGGCACCAGCTCCGTCCCGCCAGCGCAGGAATTTCCGCTCCCAGAGCCCAGGGCTGGGGAGGGGCCGGGTTGGGCACTGGGCGGAGCCACCGGCATACCTGGGCCCACGTGACTGGCCAGGTGCGGCACTGAGTCAGCCATTGGCCCACTGCCTGTCCGCCTCCCCTGCGCCCTTCAGGCATCCCTAGGCTGTTGGGCTGCTTGGTCCGGGGGCGGTGCCATTGGCGTGTGAACTATGTGACCTCAGAACTGGCCTGGGGTCCCGCCCCAAACTGGCCTCACAAGTCCAGGCCTTGAAAAAAAGGGTCTCCTCAAAAAGAGGCTGAAAAGTGAACAGTGAGGGGAGCAGCAAAGCACAGCTCTGCAGCTTGTTAGCTGCGGTACCAGAGGATAACGTACCCGCCTTTCATCAGTTTTCCTGTCTGTAAAATGGGCTGCTACGCAGAATCCCCGAACTAATAGCTCTAAGTCTTTTAGAGTAGGGGTTTTAGCCCCTATCTTTTTGTACCATGAACCCTAATGGCAATCTGGTGAAATCTCTGGACCCTTATGCAAAATAAGAATTTTAAAAGCATAAAAACAAAATGCTAAAGATTACATGGAGGACAATTAGTATAAAAATATGCTAAAAACACAAATTTATAACATGGTTATGTTTTTATTAGCATTAAATAACAAGACTGGCAGGTTATTTAAGTTACAACCTTTTCTAATAACATCAGTGTGTTGCTCAGCTTGAATAAGAACATTAAACTGAGGGGTGGTCTTTGACTTAACCTCAAACAAATTGATCAGCAAACAACTAAAGACAGAGAACGCAAGGAAGTAATGGAGAAACCTGGGTTACTGATACAAAAATAGGAGGATTCACCATTTGGACACTGACCGTCTATGTGTCCCAATCTATAACACCTGTGTTGTATGAGTGTCTGAAACAAAGTGCAATGTAATGGTGGGTTAAAAACTATGAGGATTTTGAAATAGTTGTGGACATAAATGTTTTGAGACACTTGTAATAATCACAATTTGATATGAAAATCTGTGATTTTTATTGGATACAAAGCCACAGATACTGCTAACACTTCAATCCATATGGAAGGAAATGGCAAATTTTGGTTAAAGGTTAGTGAATATGTATTATATATATATATTCACCTATATAGGTTAGTGAATATATATTCCAAGTTTATGGGCCCCTGAATTCTGAAGCCCAGGTTAAGAGCCTTCCTCTGAGAACAACGCCTAAAATATACTAAATGTTTGCAGTTCTCATCATTGGCAGAAGCTAGCCCAGCCAGGGGGCTCCTGAGACTTCGGAATCAGAATCAGGTCTACTTGCTTTAAGACTGAGCCAAAACTCTATCCCACTCTGAACTTGTTTTTTCTTCCTTAAAAGGGGTACACCTAGACCTTAGTGCTGTGAGGAGGTTCTTTAAGTATTTTGAAAATCTATAACATGAAGTAGAGTTATTGCTTTAATATTATGGGGAGGCCTTCCTAGAGCTATCCCTATGACTGTGTCACCTAATTCAAAATCTCTGCCAGTGCCCCAAAACCTGGCTTTCAAAGCCTATCATTATTTCACCTGTAACCAAGACCTAAAGTCTACATTTGGCCCACAGATGCCCAAATTTAGTGTGTGTGTTTTCATCATTTAATAAGTTCAGATACAAATTGAGTTGTCTGGAACTTGGCCAGCTCAGCTGACCCCATCTCACCTTCACACATCCTATCAAACACGAGTGCAGATCGTCAGCTGCTTCCTTCAAAGGGGACTCCCTTCCTGGCTCAGTGCATGTTTCTTCTCCTGAAAATGGGTTTAATAACAGCCCTCTATGCCCAGCTCAGGCCCCAGCAGGACTAGCTCCCTCATTTGTGAATCGGGAGGCTCCAGATTTGCAACATGGCCGCCACCTCTCTGGCTTCGTACTTTGCCTCACATTCTCATGCCCTGCGCTAGGTGCCCCCTCCAACCCTCCTCCATGCTGAGACCTCTTTTTTCCTTTTTTTTTCTTTTTTTTTTCTTTTTTTTTTTTTTTGCCTCTTTCTTCCTACAACAGCCTCCCTATGGCAGATCCATCTCCACTATCCTGATGTCATCAGACACATATCCTGAGCTGGCACAAGATACAGAAGTGAGAAGCCACCCAGCCTCTGGCCTCCCTCAACTCACAATCCTGTAGGGGAGCAACAGACAAGAACTTACCACTTGTACTCATGTACTCCCCTAGGAGTGGAGGCCTAACAACCACAACAGTGTCTATACTCTGTATCGCTGGCACCTGGCAGGGCAAGGCAGTTAGGAGCATAATAAATGACAGCTTCTATTTTTTTTTTAAGATTTCACTTATTTATTTTTAGAGAGAGGAGGAGGGAGAGGAACATTAATGTGTGGTTGCCTCTCATTCACCCCTCACTGGGGACCTGGCCTGAAGCCCAGGCATGTGCCATGACTGGGAATCGAACCACTGACCCTTTGGTTCACAGGTTGACACTCAATCCACTGAGCCACACCAGCCAGGGCAGCAGCTTCTATTTTTCAAGGTAGTTTTATGAGGTTTACAAAAGTTCTTTTCACATATTTGCTGTAAAAATTTCAAAGGTCATTACATAACTGTAGGCCATTAAGTAAAAGGAGGACCTTTCCAGCATATCTTTAGCTCATTCCCCAATGGGGACCACTGTTAAGTATGTACTCTACATACTCTTCTGCAAATGTTTTTTTTTTTTAATTTTATGAGATAATCAGTGCAAAGTGAAATAACAGAATACATGTACTTAAAATACTGTTGTCTATGATGTACTAAAAAATAGTAAGCCTTCTTAATCAGTATATGCAAACCTTTTGTTATTGTTCCCAAGCTGAGGGTAGGAAAGTCCCTGCAGGACTCCACGTTGGGGAAAGGGGCAATACGTGCTCTCTCCAAACATGAAGTGGTTGATCCAGCCAAAACCAATTAAAAAAGGAGCACTACTTTTGGGGGAGGGTTAGGGCACCCTTTCCCTCCTTTGCTGAGAGCTGATTGGTAACATCCAGTCATCTGAGATAGGGCTGGGGCCAGGACAAGGGCTGCGGAAGCCCTCCCAATACCTGGCACAGGCCTGAGACTCCTGAGTGCTGTCAGGCAAGGCCTCTCCTGGCTGCCCAGTGTGGCCTCCTGGGTGGGTGTGGGAGGCGCTGCTCAGGCCTGATGCTGATCTTTCCTGACAGCTGCTCCTAAGGCTGGCCTGGCAGGCAGGCGGGGGAAGGGACCAGATTTAAAGGTGCAGCTGCCCCACCCCTCGCCAGACCTGGGAGGGCAGACTCTGGTGAGCATCCACTGAAGGCATGGTTCTCATGCACATCAGAGGTCAGGAACCTCTCTGCCCCGGTATTTCCACTTCTTGGTACCATGAACACCACTGGTCTTCACTCCTGCTTCCACTCCACAGGCTGCCAGGGAGACTAGTGGCATCTACAATGCAATTTCGGCGCCTGACCCCTGGCTACTTCCGGGTTCTACAGGCAAGTACCCCTAACTTACGGTTCTTGGCACCGACCCTTTCCTCCCCCTACCATGGCTGGGTTGTCAGCCCCAACAGCCACAGAATGTTGTCACGTTTCCTGCCGCCTGAGCAGCCAGGGCCTAGATGGGCACTGAAGCGAGAGGGACTGGGGTGGAATCTCCCGGGGGGAGCAATGGCGGCCATATCTCCTCCACCAGGCTGTACTTTCTCAGTACCTTCCCTTATTAGAAGTCTCAGCTGATCCCTCAGGTGGACCCTCTGTACATCCCTAGATGCAGGTAGCTGGGGAGCTGAAGGCAGAGCCACGGAGTCCACTGGCTGGGGTTGTGGCTACACTGCTGGCTGTCCTTGGACTGGGTGGCTCCTGCTATGCTGTCTGGAAGATGGTGGGGCAACAGCCACCGCCACAGGCCCCATGAGGAAGTGGGAAGCTTCTCACCTGAGCCCTGGGAGGTAGGTACCTTAGCAGGGACTACAATCTTTGGAATCCCACTTCTTTTCTGCCCTCATTGGAAGCAGTGCAATATAAAGGTTTATATCCTACCCCCTTCCCCTTCCTACTGCACCCGAGCTCTGCCTGGGGGCTCCAGCTTGGATGCCAGGACCCCCTGGGGGAAGGCAAGGATGCAGGTTCCAAAGCTAGAGCAAATAGGGAACAGGCAGCCTGGGTTCTGCACACAAGAATAGTGGAGAAATCATTAGAGGGTAGAAGTTAGGCAAGTGGCCTGGAGATTAGGGAGTGGGAAACAAGCACTCTTTATCCAGTTCCTTTATTTGACGGGGAGGGCGCCCAGAAGAGGCCATCCACTCAACAAACCCAGGGCCAAAAAAGGTTGGCACAGTCTCTCCGAGCCCTGCATCACTGTCCATGGGCAGTTCCTCTGCTTTGCATCCTCAGGCCGTGTCAGGTAGATGTATCCATCTCAGGGACCTCAGTGGATATTTCTGTGGGCACTGCCAGCCTCTGGGCGGGCACATAGGAGCCCATACCCGCTGCCCTCTCAGCCTCTTCCTGAGTGTAGGGTTCCACACTCAGCTGCTTTAGCCTGGGAGGAAAAAGAGGAGTTGGGAGCTGCGCAGATGAGAGCCCTGTAAACCAGGCACCCATCCATTAATTCTCTCCTTATTCCTTCATACCTTTTCTTGTGGTCTTTGGATCGGAAGTGGGTCTTCAGGTTGGCGGAATCGATGAAGTACCTCCTATAGGGATGAGGGGTAAGAGGAGAGTGAAGGGGTGATTGATGCCTCTCGGGTACGTCTATCTTCCTGACCATATCTCATTCCCTGACGCCAAGCTTCGGGTCTGAAGGGATCGGAGGCCCGCAGACCCATGGGTCCCAAGAGCGGGGACTCGCAGACCCGGGCCTGGACCTCACAGCCCTGGCTTATACCACAGACCCTATTCCTCCCAAAGCTGGGCCCTGCCGAGACTTACGCGCAGGCCAGGCAGCGATACAGGCCGCCCCCTGGCAGGTCGGGATCGGGTTGGGCACCCGGGTCTGGCCAGGGCCGTGAGGGAACCTGGGGCCGCAGCTCGCGGTGAATCTCATCCAGATCCGGCCGCCGCCGCTTCGCCTTCATCTGGCGGGCCAGGGAGTGCGCTCGGTGCGCACCAGTCCGGCGGGAGCGACCCATGGCTGGTGACAGCGGAACCAGAGGGCTCAGAGACTTTCACGTGCGGGCGCTTCCGGACTGTTCGATGACGTCATGTGACGCCCGGGGGCGGGGCAGGCTCGAGCAGACCGTGTTTGATGGCGTCACTCGCGTGGTCCGCGCCTTGAGCGACCTCAGGCGGTCGTAAATGTCAGTGACGGTGCCTGGGGGAGTGCCCAACGAAATGTCCTAACCCGTGGACGTGAGGCCTTTCGGGTCATCCCTTGGGGTGAGGGTAGGGTGGGGTGGGGTGGGGTGAGGCGGGGCGGGGCGTGCTCTTGGGGGATTCCTGTGCGTCCGGCTGCCCTGCCTGCCCCGCCTGCCCCGCACCACCTATCTGAGGATTATCCATTGGCCCCATCTCTCCTTCCTGGTTCCTAGGTCCAAGACTACACGGTAGAGGAGGGACATGCTTTAAGTCTTCAGTGTCTCAGGAGACACTGAAAAATGTCTGTGATGTGAATAAATTAATAAATGAATGAGTGAGTAAGTGTGGGATTCCGGTCCCCATAGGGCTTCCTGAGACACCTCCATTCCCTGACAAATCCTAGCCCCTTCTCACCGCTTCCCAATTATCCCCTCTGTGTCCATCCCCATCCACCCCTAGCCAAATCCCCGAGAAAGGGGTGGAAGGGGTGTTCCTCCCCAGATATCACAGTGCTCAGACATTCTGTCACACTTAAGAGGGATCAGCTCCTTCCACAAGAAAAGGAGGTGCTTGTAGGAAGGCCTCCCATCTTTGCTCCCTTTCTCTGAGCCCAGGACTCCCATGCGTGGGCTGGCAGCAAAGGCAGAGAGAGAGAGAGAGAGAGAGATACAGCCTAGGTGTTGGGGGCTCAGAGTGGAGAGAGGGCCAGAGAACCCTTTTCCCATTCACTGGGTCCTGATGCCTTGGAGGCTGACCAGAGGAGCTCAGCAATAATTCAGCAGCTCCAGCTCTTTGGAACCTGTTGCCAGGAAACAGGGAGACTGGCACGTGCATCCCTGGGGAATCAGTTTCCAGCCCAGACAAAGCAGTGAAATATAAGCCCAAGGAACTGCCTGGGGGCCTTGAGACCTTCCCACTCCAATTCACAGAGGCTAAGTGAGGACATAGAGCAGGGCCCTGCAGAGGGCACAACGGGTATGGCCATAGTCACAGAGACTCCAGTGTGGGTCCTGTGTCCAAGGACTCTGGAAATGGACTTTGTGAAAAGAAGAGAATTTTTTTTTCTGGGGCTATTCCAAGAGATCAAATTCAAGAACTTCTAGACCCAGGAAGGAGGCCACTGTGGAGAGGGATGTCTTCATTATTCTTGGCCAATATGGGTCACAACAAGGGGCCGAGATGGCAGAAGCCGGCTCTGTCTCACCCCCACCCTAGACTTCTTTGGATCAGTTCACCTGCTGGGCACTGTGCCAGCTGGGGAGGCTGGTGCATCTTTAATGAAGTCACCAGATCCCTGGGACAGGCTCTCTGTCTCACCAAGTTTCTAAAGCCAGACCCACTGGGTGCCCGCCGAGTCTCTCACTGCTTTCCCGTGCCTGGGTGCCAGACCCATTTCCCCTGCAACTATGAACCAGACCTTCTGGAAAACCTACAAATCCAAAGTGCTACAGACCCTGAGTGGGGAATCTGAGGAAAACCTGGCTGAGGAGGTGGGTACCATCCATGCTTGCTGGGTGGGGCAGGAGCAGAGGGGCAGCAGGAGTGAGAGGTGCAAAGAAGGGCAAGGGACAGGCTGAGGAGGGGCACATTTGTGTGGGAGTAATCAGCATATTCAGGGGTGACAAATGGCATGGAGCAGCATCAGGAAGCCAGGACATTCAATAAGAGAAGACTTGGGGGGCTCCAGAGGAGTAGTCACTGCCTCCAGAGATCTCAAGGGCTGCCACAGGGAAGGGATCCTTCTAGGTTCAGTGGCTGTGGCCACACAAGGTATACTCAGCTTGACACGACCTTCTAATGGGCAGAGCTGAGCAGAAGCGGGATGGCTTGCCTTGAGGGGAAGTGAGCCCCCTGGTACTGGTGGTAGGGAAAGTGACCCTTGTATTTGGAGGATCACTGTCACAGCATTAAATCAGGGCCACACTCGGACCCATATTTATCCTGATGTTAAAAAACTGAAAAGGCTCTGAAACAGTCTTAGAATCTAGAGGTTGTGATAAGTGGCACTTGTGCAAATAGATGTGGCAGGGGCAGAGACATGTTCTGTGGTGTATGTGTGTGTGTGTGTGTGTGAGAATTGGTGTATGTCTAGACAGGTTGGTGTCCAGGGCTGGGCATGTATAGGCGTATTTGTAGGTATTAGGATTGGTGTCTGTATGGGATCCCCAGTGAAATGTATGTGCAGGTGTGAACTAGATATAGGTATTTTCAGGTGTGTACGTTTGGGCAGAAGTCTATGCCTGCATAGCTTTGTACAGGTTGCTAGGCGTTCTGTTTGTATGGGGTGTGTGTTTGTGTGTACATCTGTGTCTTGGTGTCTGTGGGTGGGTGGAGAGGTTTCATGTGCTATGGGTGGGACTTTGTACAGCTGTCTGCAGTTGTAGAGGTGCACAAGTGCAAACAGTATAATTGTGTACATGTCCTTCTATAAGTGTCTCTCAGTGCGTACAGCCACATAAGATGAAGAGCTGTAGCCATGTAGAGGCATGCTCATGTGCAGGTGTGTCTACATCAGTGTGCATGCCCAATGTCCACATGTTTTTGGATGTGTATGGATACATCTGTAGGTGAGCACATACATGGGCTCAAGGGTTTCTGAAGGGACTTTTCTATACAGGTAATGTATGTGACTGGTAGCTTTGTTTAGAGGAATACCTGTATGTATTGTGGAGGGTGTGAGGGGACTAGGTGTGTGTTTAGTTCTGTAGAGTTTGGGGTGCCTGGTGTATGTGTACCAGGCTAGCAGTGGAGGAGGGAGTTCCTATTCCTTTGGGGCCTCTCTCATACTGGGTGGCGGTCTTGTGTCCCAGAAGGAGAACCCAGCTTTAGTGGAGACAGCAGAACCAACCCCAGAGGCCTTCAATCCTATGTCACAGCTGGCCCGTCGGGTGAGTTCTCCCTTCTTCCAGCCCAGCCCTGAGGAACCTGGCAGAAGCTGCTCTGGAGACCTGGGACATGGTGCTTTGGCCCCTCGCTGACTCCCAGCCCCTCCCTCCCAGGTTCAGGGGGTCGGGGTGAAAGGTTGGCTGACTATGTCATCTCTGTTTAACAAAGAAGATGAGGACAAGCTGCTGCCACCGGAACCCTGTGCTGACCAGTATGTGTGTGTTGGGGGGGGGGGGGCGTTGGTTCTGGGATGGGCCTGGGATCTCCTTCTCCATAGCCTTTACATATGGTCTGTTTAAGGGTTGGGGAGGGCCAGTCCCTGTTGTATCTGTTTCTCTTACTCAGTAAGAGGCCAAATCAGCCTATCTGGGAAATTAGGTTAGAGCTCAGGAAGAATTTACCAGCTCTTGAGATTGACATGCTAGAAGGTATTAGGGACTTTCTCTCTCTCCATTCACGTGGGAGGGGTCGTCTCTCTATAATCAGCCAGAGGTGCAGAGAACCTTTAGGTGTTTGGACCAGAAGGTGGTTCAGATCAGTGGTTCCCAAATACTGGTCTAAACTCTTCCCAGGGTGCTTGTGACAAACACAAATTCCCAGACCCACCAAAGATTCTGTTCAGCAGGTGTGAGCTGAGGCCTGGGATCTAGGTTTTCAGCAAGCTGCCTGAGGATCTGAGGCACATTAGTTTAGGAACCAGTCTTAGCAGGTTTTTGATGCTGGAGGGTTACAGGGGAGGACCCAGGGCCTCAGTCTTCCTCCTGGCTCTATCTCTGGCACACCCTCCATCTCTGCCCCTTCCTCCAGCCCATTTACACACACCCTTTTGACACTCTCCTATTCTTTTCTCCCCTGGGGCCCCGCGACCCGCCCATCTCTCGCCGAACCTATCTCCTCTCCTTCCCAGTTTTGTAGGGGCTCTTCCTCAGACCTGAGATCCCATCTCAAGCCATGTACCTCCCTCATTGTCCTGCTACCTGCTGAGTTCCCCCTCCTCTTCCCCTGAGCCTCTGATTTAGACCTTTCTGCTTCCCTTGGTGTCACTCCACCAGCCTTTCTCCTGTGCCCTCTCATTTTCCCGGTCCCTCTACCCCTTCATCGCGGAACCTGACTCCAGTCCCCGCCCCGCCTCTTTTCCCATAGTCCACCCTTAGCTTTCCAGACCACAGCCTCCAGAATCTGAACCCGCCCCTGTCCCGGGATCTCGCCCCTCCCCATCCCACGCCACTCTCCCGAATCGTTGGGCCCCGCCCCTTTCCCTGTGGTCCATCCCGAGGCTTGGCGCCTCTGGCTTTCCTCATCTGGCCTCGCCCGGAGTCGCTTGCCTAATCCCCAGACCCTGTCCCACCCCAGTCCACTTTCCCGGTGCCTCTGAGCCCTCATCCTGCCCCCACAGGTCCCGACCTGCCCCCAGTTTCCCGGGCCCCTTCAGTCCCGGGCTCCCCTGACCCCATTACTGGTCCCTTGACCCCGCCTCCTCTTTGTGCTCTCCGAGACCCGCCTGTCTCTGACCCCACTTGTCTTCTGCAGCCCGCTAGCGGCGCGGCCCTCCTCGCAGGCTGCGGCGGCGGAGGCGGAGCCGCGCGGGCCGGGATTCTGGGACGCATTTGCCAGCAGGTGGCAGCAGCAGCAGGCGGCTGCAGCGTCCATGCTGCGCGGCTCCGAACCCACCCCAGAGCGGGACCCCGAAGCCGGGGACGAGGCCACGGAGGAGGCCACAGAGGAGGCCACGGAGGAGGCCGCCCAGCGCCCCGAGCCGCAGGAGGCCGACGCGGCGGCCGACTTCAAGTGGGGCTTCCTCACTCACAAACTGGCCGAGATGAGATTGAAGGTTGCGCCCAAAGGTGACTAGCCAGACGGCCGAACTGGGCGCCCACTTCTCCCCCCCAACATAAAAACCCTGCCCCGACAGCCGTGTGACCGCGTACTTTTGTCAGGGCAGCCGGGAAAGCTGCTTTTGGGTGGGCAATTCCAGGGTGGGGGTTCAGATAGAGGAATCTTTCCCTCCTATCCCACAAACATCCAGGGAGAAAATGACCCGGGACAGGCCAGGTATCAGGATAGATTGTGTTAGATTTAGGGTACTATTTTCCAGGAAGCTGGAGAACCCCCAAAGACAGACTCCATGGCTCTGTCTAGCCTCTTGGCAAATGTTGCCTGTGGCCCTACTATGTGTGCTGTCTTTGTACTAAGATATTACAAACTCACAAGAGAACTCAAACTATCAGCGGGTCCTACACAAAGTGACAAACTGAGGCTCAAAATATAGGGCTGTACATGGGAATTCAGAGATGAGGCCAACTGGAGAATTCAGGAATTCCTTAGGGAGAATGAACATATGTAACCTTAGAAAGGTGAATGGAGAGAAAGGAGAAAGTAACCGGGCAAAAGGAGGACCGTGAACAAAGACTTAGAGGTGCAAACATGTGAGGAAGGCAGGTAACCTTGTGTGTCTTTGAGAGAAAGAAGACAGTGGCAGGATGTGAGGCTGCGAGTTGGCAAAATCCTTGTTTGAAGAGTCCCTTCCTTTTTTGTCCTCAATTCTGGTTCAGCCCTTCATACCTAGTAACCAAAAGGGTGCAGCAAACTCCAGGAATGGGGACCTTTTAGGCATCGGTGGACCCCAGATTTCTAAAGAACTCCACTCCCTAGAACTCTTTAAACATGCTATCCCTGGTTCCCGGCTCTAGTTTCCACCGACCTGGGGGTCAGTGGAGGAGATGATCATTATAGTGTGAGTAGATACTAATTCGGTAGCGATTATAGCAACTATCATTCAGTGAGCACTTACTTCTATGTGCTGGCTTATTGCCATGAACTTTATAGACATTTCAAAAATATTTTGATCACGGGAAAGGAGCACCTACAATCCAGAGAGGTTAGGTATTGGCCCAGTCAGCCTGAAACCCACACTTCAAAACTCACGCAGTACAAATCTGCAAACCCGCCCCGACTCGCTTAACGTTTTGACTTTATTCAGCAGGTTCTCTCAAACTCTCAGCCCAGTGTTCACTCCCCAGACCCGGCCTCCACAGAGGCCACGAGGCTGCCGCCTCCCCTCCACTGTCCACCCTAGGGAAGGCCTTGGGGATCGTTTTGTCCCATGCCCCCATGGTTATGTGGGGAAGCCAGGATCTAGAGGGGCGGGCTTGCCAAAAGGCAACCTGCGCGTCAGTGGCAGGGTGTCCCTGCCTGTGCCCAGGTCCAGCCCCGCGCTTACCCCCTGACCATCCCCAGACCCCAGACCCCCCGGGAGCCCGCTCCCGAGCGGCTGCGGTCACACCTCAGACTCGCGCGGTGAGCCGCGGGCGCGCTGGCAGCCGTACAACCACTGGATGACGCGCGCGTTGCGCTCCACCACCGACACCGGGGGGCGCCCGTCCCGCGCCGAGCCCGCCGCCTCCGAGCCTCCGCCGCCGTGGCCTCCGCCTGCAGGATCCGAGCGATCTGCGCCTTCGTCGCTGGACGTCCAGTCGCTGGCGTCCCCGGAGCAGGGTGGCTGCGACGTTCCGGGCTGGGGACTGGCGTCGGCGCCCCAGCTCTGCGGAGAGAAGCGCTCGGCGCCCAGCACCTCCACCAGCGCGCGTTCCAGGCCGCAGTAGTTGAAGAAGCGCTCCTTTTCAGACAGGGGCAGCGAACACGTGGGGCACAGAGGCCGCTTTCCCGCCTCTTCCGGGGTATCTTGGGGCGCAGCCCAACCCCCAGGAGCCGTAGGTCGCTCCGTTGGGCCCGGGCTGCTCGAGGTGGCGTCTCGGGGGGTGCCCAGGAAGAGGCGCCGCACCAGCCCCTGGCCCTTGGCGTTCTCTTTGTTCACCGAAGCCTTGCAGTCCCGCTTCTGGCGGTAGAAGATGAGGGAGTCCGGCCTTGGCAGCCTCCTGCCGCTACCACGGCGGGCGGGCCTGGGCGTCCTGGGTGATGCAGGGGCCCCCAGCTCATTGCAGGGGTGCGGCGTAAGCGGCCCCGAACCCCCGCGCAGGGCTGGCTCCTGGCGTCGCGCTATCACCTGGTGCGTCTTGACATACTTGGCTTTGTCGGCCTCCAGCCTCTCCACCGCGCTGGGGGTCCGTGCTCTGGATGGGGTGGAGGGAGAGGCCAGGAGCATCTTAGCAGAACTGGGCAGGACAGTGCCCCATAAGCCACTGGAGGCTAGTTGAGTTGCTGAGAGCAATTGGCTGGGGTTCCCTGGGGCCTGCAAGGAAAGGGAAATGGTCAGGGGGAGAGTAGATATCCCTGCCCCTCTCCTGCAGGCATTCCTGGGAATAGGATCAGCCAGCCACCCTTCCCCCATCCAAGTCAGCCGGTGCCTTGTCCGGGCCGAGGCTCAGGCGACCCCTTACCCCCATCCCTCAAAGACGTTGGGCAGGGGATCCCTGGCCACCCATAAACATATGTCCCTTTGAGCGTTGCCCCAGTCTGGTCACAGGGCCATGCTAAGCAAGCATCAACAAGCAACACTTGGAAAAGGAAATGGGGCTGGTCCCGGCCCAATTCCCGAAAGTGCCCTCAACCGGAAAAAATACCTCTTCCCAACCCAGCAACTTGGAGTCCAAGACAAGGAGGCTTCCCAACTGTAGGCTGGCTCCAGCAGGGCCCACCCTTCCCACCCCCGAGCACCGGGGGTCAGGAATATAACCACAGAGTAGGCCTCCAGTAATTGCAGCCAACTGCCCTGCCCAGGCCCAGCCCGGTCATTGGGAAGAAGGCAGTGGCCACTAGGTCGTGTCAGAAAGCTACTTGCTACCCACGCTGTGCCCCGCCAAGGGAATTCCAGAATGTCCAACTGTAAACATCACCTTACCTACCTCTGCATTTCTATTTCATAGAAGGTGAGCCTGGCCCAGAGAGGAGGGGGCTGCTCAGAGCTTACTGAAAGTTAGGGCCCCCAGCTAGAACTTAGGTCTCTTGCCTTTCTGTCCAGAACTGGTTTAGATTGGATCTCCCACTTGTCTGTCGGAACATCCTTCTTTTTCTTTCTTGTATTCCTGCTGCTATAAAAGCAAGCAAGTTCTGTTAGAGATGGGCCTCTTGCCTCACCAAAAATTTTCCTTCCACTAATTCTTCCTCAAATCTGCACTCCCAGAAATCTGCCCTCAGGGTGGCTGCCCCCTTCTCACCCTGAGACCCCATGACCCTTCTTCTCCACCTCCCTTCTGCAGGGGAAGGGCACCAGGGGGGTTGTAAATCAAAAGCTGACAGTTTTCTCAGCAGTAACAGAAGGGGCCACCCACATGGCTCAGCACATCCCACCCCACCCCTGCCCTTTTCTCCCCCCCCCCCACCTCCATTCAGCTGAGAGGGTCAGTCAGTTCTGGGGGCTCAGGAGACCTCATGTCTGGAGGCAACAAAGGAATAGAACTTGTCAGGGATGGGGGAGGGGAGCCCCAGTGAGGGGCCAAGGGGCAGAGACCCTGCCAACCCCACCCATCCCAGAACAACCTGTTGAGATTTGGGTGCACATCTGTGCACACACACACTCACTCACACATATCCAGCTACGTCCGCCTGGGGTCCATACGTCCATAGGTAACTGGGAACCCGGACAGCAAGGAGAGCCCGACAGTGCCCTCCTTCCTGTCTCCCAAGGGCTATACTAGCCAAAGGGCCAGATTCCAAGGTCCCGGGAGGGTACTGTGCTTATCTGACCTCAAGGGCACCCTCACATCCCCTTTTCACCTCCTCCTCTTCCCAGCCCCAAGTGCAGAGGCTATAAAAAGTCTCTAAACACAGGGACCAGAATAGTCTCCCGTCCACTGCCTCTTCCCTGCCTTCTGGGCTGGCCTTGATGCCTAACCACAGATGTTCCACCCTAGATGCCTGGCAGACATCCCTGTGCCCTCCATCTCTTCGCCCACCTTCTTCCAGTCCTGGGGTTAGTGGTCCTTGCTTTGCCCAAGGCTCCTGCTCTAGCTGAGGGCTGGGGGACGGTGCTCATTGGCCGGGAGCCAGCCTCTCGGCCTTTGGGTCCCTGGGTGCCCTCCAACCCCAGCGCTGGGCTCTAGATACACTCACCTCTGTGTGGGGAGGCTGATTGCAGGGGACCCTGGGCAGGGCCAGACTGAGGGCTGGAGGGACAGCAGGGACTAGAAGTAACTTTGGTGGCAGCCAAACCTCACTCTCCACAGGAAAAGCCGAGAGAGCCTCCACCCCCCCCCCCCAGATTAACCCTCGCTTTCCTGACCCGGAGCCTGGCCTCTGTTAACTCCTTCCTGATCACAGTCTCGGTGTTGGGGAGGACCTATGGCCCAGGTCCAGCTCCTTTATATTATACATGGTCACACAGGCCCTGACAGGTTAAATGACTTGCACAGAGGCACAGAGAGCTTGGGGGCACAGATAGGACCCCAAACAAGGTCTCCTGATTCCCAGGCTTCCTTCAGAGGCTTGGCGTGGGCCATGCTATTCGCGTGGGTCAGCCCCCTCTGCTGGGCCTTGGCAAATCCTCTTGGTTGGGATGGGAAGACAGAGCAGGGTTCTAACTGATTGTGCCTTTTCCCCTCTGCAGCAGGCTTAGACCTGTCCTGGTCCGGGTGTGTGGGTGACGGCAAGCCTCTCCACAGGGGTGAGGCCAGGAATCTGCGGCCTAAGGGTGGGGACAATGGGGCTGCAGACATTCAGGGTGAGCCTGTCCCAGCAAGTCTTGGCTTGAAGGTCAACTGGGAGCCCATTGGAGGTGCTTTTGCCCAAAGTTCTCTGATGGCAAAGGGGATTGGCTGGGAAGAGGATAATAAAGGATGATTCTGGGGCCAAGTCTGAGTGCTTTGGCTTCCTTCCTCTTCGGCTCCAACTTGGGGACTTCTATCTGGCACCTCATGTCTCAAGAGGGGTCCTGTCCCTACAGTGCTGGTAACAGGAGGGCTCCTCCCCTCTTCCCAGCAAATAAACTCCGCAGTCCCCAGAGCTCAAAGACCAATGTCCCTGCCAAGGGGTCCCATGCCCCCTTCTACCTGGCTGCTTTCCACAAATCCCTCTTCCTCTCTTCCAGCATTTCTTAACAGTTACAAAGCACATTCACACCGGTGTTCTCTGACCTCCTTTGTCCCTCCCAAGGACCCTAGACAGGGGGTCCAGGAAACTGGATCGGATAGAGGAGACACTTGCCCAAGCCCCACCCTGAATCCACTCTTTCCACTGCATTCTCTGCCTGTCAAGTAAAGTAATGAGTCCATCTCCTTTAAGAGATTTTTATTACCTATTTGGGATTATTATTATTTTGTCCATGATAGTTCCATACTGTGTTGACATAACACTTTCCAAAATGCTTTCATGTATATAATCACAATCCATCCCCAGGACAATCTTTGGGGTAGGTTTTATTATTTTTCTTATTTGACAGCAGAAGATCCTGAGGCCGAGAGAGGTGAAATGGCTGATCTAAGCTCACATGATTAGGAATAATAGCTAACTTTTACTGAGAGATTTATATATATACTAGGTACTATTCTGAGTATCTCACACAAATGACTAACATGTTTAATCCTCAAAACAACCAAATGAAATGGGTACTTTCTTTCTCCTAATTTTATAGATGAAGGTTGGGGGTGCGGGCGAGAAGCATCGAGATCTGGTCATGATGGGGTTAAGCGTGGAGGCTGGGCAGGGCCCAGCTGGGATGCTGTCAATGGCAGGAAACCTGGCCTGTGAAGGAGGGGGAGGATGGGGCTGTTGTGTCTGACTCCTGATACAACCCCCATCCCTTTGGTCTTAAAGGAGCATCCGGGTTGAGTGGGAAGGCAGGGGGGCCCCTTTCTCAGCCCCGGTGAGGGGCCAAAGACAGATGCTGGGCTACAGAAAGGGGATTCAGAGGGAAATGCAGGGGCTGCAGGGCGGGGGCAGCCCCAGGTCTGATGAGGTGACTAGAAGCAACCACGCCTCCCTGCCAGAGCCTCTGTCAGAGGGTAGACACCGAGTCCACCTTGGGAGTCTCCAGTCCAAGGCGGGAGACACAGCTCTGCCCTCAGGAGCCTGCGGGGGGGACAGTGGTGGAGGAACCTTGCTCTCAGGAGCTCCCAGCCTGAGGGGTGACAGTACCCTGGCCAGGATGCCAGGGGGCACGGAGTCTCTACCGTCCTGGGAGAGCAGAGTCATGGAGGAGAGGTCCAATTGGACTGGCTTCCGGGTGAGAGAGCCCTGAAAGAGTCCGTGGGAGATGGGGGAGAATGAGGCGGAGCAGCAGCTGCCTGCCCTGCCTGCCTCTTGGCCACACTTGCCGTGAACTGGATCATATGTCCTTCTGGTCATGGGTCCCCAGGGAAATCCTTAAAGTGGCTCCTTCCGGCCCTTAGCCAGGACCTTGGGCAAAGGGGGGAGGCCAAATCTGAGAGATGTTTCCTTCCTATTTCCGAGCTCATTCCCGAATCACCCTGAAGATCAATGGGAATGGGGAATGGGTCTGAGTCAGAACTGGCTCCTGGGAGAGTGGGGGTGGGGGCGAGGGGGGACAGTGGGGAAGCAGCTTTGGCCAGTGTTGGGAATAAGGAGAGGGTTCAGGGAGGCCCTTCGGATCCAACCTCAGATCCCAGACCTACATTGTCTCAGAGGAGAAATGTGTCAACTCCCTCACTAGCCAGCTACCCTGGCCATAGTCATCCATACCTCTACCTACCTTTGATTCTAATCCTGGTCTACCACTCACTGGCTGTGTGTCCTTGAGCAAGAATGCAACTTCTCTGAATTCTGATTTGTGTAAAATGTAAATGATAAGACCCAGTTCTTTTTTTTTTTTAAAGATTGTATTTATTTATTTTTAGAGAGAGGGGGAGGGAGGGAGAAAGAGAGGGAGGAGAACATCAATGTGTGAGAGATACATGGATAGGTTGCTTCTCACACGCCCCTAACTGGGGACCTGGCCCCGACCCAGGCATGTGCCCTGAACCAGCAGCCTTTCAGTTCGCAAGCTGACGTTCAACCAGCTGAGCCACATCAGCCAGGGCAATATCCAGTCTTTGTGTGGCACAAAGAAGTCGTGGCAAGAAGAGAAAGCACCTGGTGCCTCAAGGTGCTCAAAATGTTAGATGACTCTGCCTCTTAGCTCCAGGCCTCCACTAACACCTTCCTGACAACTCTGGCCTTAATTTTTTTTTTTCTGTCCTATTCCGAGCCTCACACTCAGCTGCTGTCAACAAATCATTTTGAACACTGCTCTGTGCCACGGGGTCAGCAGTTGGGTCAGACAAGGTTTTTGCTCCCAGGGAACTCAGCCTGCTTGGTGGTGGAGGTGGGGGAGGGGCAGAGGTGTGAAGGACTGATCACAACTCAAGTGAGAACAGTGCTGCTGTGACAGAGATGAAAAAAGCAGAGGACAGGGTGGGGGCGGTATTTGTTCTGTCTGGGTGAGATGCGGAGCTTTCAAAGAGGAAAGTGTATCTGAGCATGGAAGCGATTTCTGAAGGCAGTGGGTTGGGAGGTGGGCCTTTGGGAGGTTGGAGTGCATAGGGTGGGGGAATTGTGGGAGGGACAGTGAGAGCAATAGGCTAAGAGGACGGCAGGAGCTAGTGTGTCAGCGAGGGCAAAGGCTAGGGAAGAGATTGCTGGGGGGCAGCTCAGGAGGGCTTAGAGAGAAGATGGGGTGCGGAGAAGGGAGGGCTTTTTTTGAGGAGATGGATTCAGTGAGATGATGGGGGCCCTGAGAAAAGGCAGGCTTAGAATGAGAGAGAGGGGCCCAAAGCGGGGCCTGGGGTGCAGGGAGAGGGGAGGGCAGGGCGCTGGGCTTCTGTAATACCCCAGCTCCACAGGAGGAGCCCCCTCGCTGGCCACGTGTAACTCCCCAGAGGGAGCAGAACAGCCATCCTCTCATTCAGGGCTTTCCGTTTCGGAAAGAATTTCTTCCACAACAATAGCCTGGCTCCCGCCCTCCCTCTGAGGGGGTGACCTCTGGGCAGAGCCAGGTGCCCAGCACCCACTGTCCAGTAGTCACTGGGGGGGAGGGGCAGAGGTGGCCAGAGAGAGCAGGGGGCAGTGGGGTGGTGGCGAGGAATATGTTAAGCATGTTTTCCCCTAAGCACCTAATGAACAGTGTGAATAAAATAGGTAGGATTTCTGCTCTCAGAGCTTACAACCTAGTGTTCCAATAACAAAATCAACTACATCCACTGTTTACTATATGCTTGGTACTACGCTAAGTGCTTTCCGCTCAGTACCTCACGTACTTCTGACAGAGCCCAAAGTGAAGTGGATGAGGAAACAGGCAGGGAGAGGTGAAGTGACCCACCCGTGGTCACATAGCTTGCAGATGGAAGGGCTGGGACTCCAGGGCCGGCTCATAGTCCCTTGGTAACCTGCTGCCTAGATTGTACACAGGCGGACCTGGAGCAAGTCCACTGTCACTACCCCCAGGTCTTCCTGCGTTGCTTGCCCTGTTGGCTGGGATTGCTGGACGGAAGCGAGGATTGGGATGGGGCAGCCCCAATGGTAGTCCTCGCTCCAGTCCTTGTCACCTACATCTCCGTCACCACATCGTCATCAACATCTCCATCATTCATCTCCATTTTCCACCACTGTCTTCATCAACATGCCTCCAGATTCAGTACAAGGAACAAAAAATATCCAATATAGACTAGTAAAATAGGGAAACACATGGAAAAGAGATAGGGATGTCTCATGAAATGCAGGGGCAAGACATCTGTCCTCTTATCTTGACAAATACACCTTCATAATTATGTGTTGAAAAAATATGTTTAGCCCTGGCCAGGTATGTCAGCTGGTTAGAGCATCATCCTAATATGCCAAGGTTGCGGTTTAATCCCTGGTCAACGGGACTTACAAGAATCAACAAATGAATGTATAAATAAATGGAACAACAAATTGATGTTTCTAACTTTCTCTCTCTCTGAGATAAATTTTAAAAGTTTAGATTTTTTTTACACAGAGAAAGTCATCAAAATATCAAAGATGGTTCAATTTAATTAGTATTAAGCATGTGTGGGTGTTTTGTTAAAGGGTTTGTTAAATGTGTGGGTGTTTTGTTACTCATTGTTGAATGAGTAAGAAAATAAAGATGTGATTAATTTATAAATAATCACATCTTTAATTCATAAAATATATTTTTCTTGCTTTGATTTCAGCAAGATTATTAAT